ACCTGAGAATGCCCACCTGAGAATGCCCACCTGAGAATGCCCACCTGAGAATGCCCACCTGACAATGCCCACCTGAGAATGCCCACCTGAGACTGCCCACCTGAGAATGCCCACCTGAGACTGCCCACCTGAGAATGCCCACCTGAGAATGCCCACCTGACAATGCCCACCTGAGAATGCCCACCTGAGAATGCCCACCTGAGAATGCCCACCTGAGAATGCCCACCTGACAATGCCCACCTGAGAATGCCCACCTGAGACTGCCCACCTGAGAATGCCCACCTGAGACTGCCCACCTGAGAATGCCCACCTGAGAATGCCCACCTGACAATGCCCACCTGAGAATGCCCACCTGAGACTGCCCACCTGAGAATGCCCACCTGAGAATGCCCACCTGACAATGCCCACCTGAGAATGCCCACCTGAGACTGCCCACCTGAGAATGCCCACCTGAGAATGCCCACCTGAGAATGCCCACCTGAGAATGCCCACCTGAGAATGCCCACCTGAGAATGCCCACCTGAGAATGCCCACCTGAGAATGCCCACCTGAGAATGCCCACCTGAGAATGCCCACCTGAGAATGCCCACCTGAGAATGCCCACCTGACAATGCCCACCTGAGAATGCCCACCTGAGACTGCCCACCTGAGAATGCCCACCTGAGAATGCCCACCTGACAATGCCCACCTGAGAATGCCCACCTGAGACTGCCCACCTGAGAATGCCCACCTGACAATGCCCACCTGAGAATGCCCACCTGAGAATGCCCACCTGAGAATGCCCACCTGAGAATGCCCACCTGAGAATGCCCACCTGAGAATGCCCACCTGAGAATGCCCACCTGAGAATGCCCACCTGAGAATGCCCACCTGAGACTGCCCACCTGAGAATGCCCACCTGAGAATGCCCACCTGACAATGCCCACCTGAGAATGCCCACCTGAGACTGCCCACCTGAGAATGCCCACCTGAGAATGCCCACCTGACAATGCCCACCTGAGAATGCCCACCTGAGAATGCCCACCTGAGACTGCCCACCTGAGAATGCCCACCTGAGAATGCCCACCTGAGAATGCCCACCTGAGAATGCCCACCTGAGAATGCCCACCTGAGAATGCCCACCTGAGACTGCCCACCTGAGAATGCCCACCTGACAATGCCCACCTGAGAATGCCCACCTGAGAATGCCCACCTGAGAATGCCCACCTGAGAATGCCCACCTGACAATGCCCACCTGAGAATGCCCACCTGAGACTGCCCACCTGAGAATGCCCACCTGACAATGCCCACCTGAGAATGCCCACCTGAGAATGCCCACCTGAGAATGCCCACCTGAGAATGCCCACCTGAGAATGCCCACCTGAGAATGCCCACCTGAGAATGCCCACCTGAGAATGCCCACCTGACAATGCCCACCTGAGAATGCCCACCTGAGACTGCCCACCTGAGAATGCCCACCTGAGACTGCCCACCTGAGAATGCCCACCTGAGAATGCCCACCTGACAATGCCCACCTGAGAATGCCCACCTGAGACTGCCCACCTGAGAATGCCCACCTGAGAATGCCCACCTGACAATGCCCACCTGAGAATGCCCACCTGAGACTGCCCACCTGAGAATGCCCACCTGAGAATGCCCACCTGAGAATGCCCACCTGAGAATGCCCACCTGAGAATGCCCACCTGAGAATGCCCACCTGAGAATGCCCACCTGAGAATGCCCACCTGAGAATGCCCACCTGAGAATGCCCACCTGAGAATGCCCACCTGACAATGCCCACCTGAGAATGCCCACCTGAGACTGCCCACCTGAGAATGCCCACCTGAGAATGCCCACCTGAGAATGCCCACCTGAGACTGCCCACCTGAGAATGCCCACCTGAGAATGCCCACCTGACAATGCCCACCTGAGAATGCCCACCTGAGACTGCCCACCTGAGAATGCCCACCTGAGAATGCCCACCTGACAATGCCCACCTGAGAATGCCCACCTGAGAATGCCCACCTGAGACTGCCCACCTGAGAATGCCCACCTGAGAATGCCCACCTGAGAATGCCCACCTGAGAATGCCCACCTGAGAATGCCCACCTGAGAATGCCCACCTGAGAATGCCCACCTGAGAATGCCCACCTGAGAATGCCCACCTGAGAATGCCCACCTGAGAATGCCCACCTGAGAATGCCCACCTGAGAATGCCCACCTGAGAATGCCCACCTGAGAATGCCCACCTGAGAATGCCCACCTGAGAATGCCCACCTGAGAATGCCCACCTGAGAATGCCCACCTGAGAATGCCCACCTGAGAATGCCCACCTGAGAATGCCCACCTGAGACTGCCCACCTGAGAATGCCCACCTGAGAATGCCCACCTGACAATGCCCACCTGAGAATGCCCACCTGAGACTGCCCACCTGAGAATGCCCACCTGAGAATGCCCACCTGACAATGCCCACCTGAGAATGCCCACCTGAGACTGCCCACCTGAGAATGCCCACCTGAGAATGCCCACCTGAGAATGCCCACCTGAGAATGCCCACCTGAGAATGCCCACCTGAGAATGCCCACCTGAGAATGCCCACCTGAGAATGCCCACCTGAGAATGCCCACCTGAGAATGCCCACCTGAGAATGCCCACCTGAGAATGCCCACCTGAGAATGCCCACCTGAGAATGCCCACCTGAGAATGCCCACCTGAGAATGCCCACCTGAGAATGCCCACCTGAGAATGCCCACCTGAGAATGCCCACCTGAGAATGCCCACCTGAGAATGCCCACCTGAGAATGCCCACCTGAGAATGCCCACCTGAGAATGCCCACCTGAGAATGCCCACCTGAGAATGCCCACCTGAGAATGCCCACCTGAGAATGCCCACCTGAGAATGCCCACCTGAGAATGCCCACCTGAGAATGCCCACCTGAGAATGCCCACCTGAGAATGCCCACCTGAGAATGCCCACCTGAGAATGCCCACCTGAGAATGCCCACCTGAGAATGCCCACCTGAGAATGCCCACCTGAGAATGCCCACCTGAGAATGCCCACCTGAGAATGCCCACCTGAGAATGCCCACCTGAGAATGCCCACCTGAGAATGCCCACCTGAGAATGCCCACCTGAGAATGCCCACCTGAGAATGCCCACCTGAGAATGCCCACCTGAGAATGCCCACCTGAGAATGCCCACCTGAGAATGCCCACCTGAGAATGCCCACCTGAGAATGCCCACCTGAGAATGCCCACCTGAGAATGCCCACCTGAGAATGCCCACCTGAGAATGCCCACCTGAGAATGCCCACCTGAGAATGCCCACCTGAGAATGCCCACCTGAGAATGCCCACCTGAGAATGCCCACCTGAGAATGCCCACCTGAGAATGCCCACCTGAGAATGCCCACCTGAGAATGCCCACCTGAGAATGCCCACCTGAGAATGCCCACCTGAGAATGCCCACCTGAGAATGCCCACCTGAGAATGCCCACCTGAGAATGCCCACCTGAGAATGCCCACCTGAGAATGCCCACCTGAGAATGCCCACCTGAGAATGCCCACCTGAGAATGCCCACCTGAGAATGCCCACCTGAGAATGCCCACCTGAGAATGCCCACCTGAGAATGCCCACCTGAGAATGCCCACCTGAGAATGCCCACCTGAGAATGCCCACCTGAGAATGCCCACCTGAGAATGCCCACCTGAGAATGCCCACCTGAGAATGCCCACCTGAGAATGCCCACCTGAGAATGCCCACCTGAGAATGCCCACCTGAGAATGCCCACCTGAGAATGCCCACCTGAGACTGCCCACCTGAGAATGCCCACCTGAGAATGCCCACCTGAGAATGCCCACCTGAGAATGCCCACCTGAGAATGCCCACCTGAGAATGCCCACCTGAGAATGCCCACCTGAGAATGCCCACCTGAGAATGCCCACCTGAGAATGCCCACCTGAGAATGCCCACCTGAGAATGCCCACCTGAGAATGCCCACCTGAGAATGCCCACCTGAGAATGCCCACCTGAGAATGCCCACCTGAGAATGCCCACCTGAGAATGCCCACCTGAGAATGCCCACCTGAGAATGCCCACCTGAGAATGCCCACGTGAGAATGCCCACCTGACAATGCCCACCTGAGAATGCCCACCTGAGACTGCCCACCTGAGAATGCCCACCTGAGAATGCCCACCTGAGAATGCCCACCTGAGAATGCCCACCTGAGAATGCCCACCTGAGAATGCCCACCTGAGAATGCCCACCTGAGAATGCCCACCTGACAATGCCCACCTCAGAATGCCCACCTGAGACTGCCCACCTGAGAATGCCCACCTGAGAATGCCCACCTGACAATGCCCACCTGAGAATGCCCACCTGAGACTGCCCACCTGAGAATGCCCACCTGAGAATGCCCACCTGAGAATGCCCACCTGAGAATGCCCACCTGAGAATGCCCACCTGAGAATGCCCACCTGAGAATGCCCACCTGAGAATGCCCACCTGAGAATGCCCACCTGAGAATGCCCACCTGAGAATGCCCACCTGAGAATGCCCACCTGAGAATGCCCACCTGAGAATGCCCACCTGAGAATGCCCACCTGAGAATGCCCACCTGACAATGCCCACCTGAGAATGCCCACCTGAGAATGCCCACCTGAGAATGCCCACCTGAGACTGCCCACCTGAGAATGCCCACCTGAGAATGCCCACCTGAGAATGCCCACCTGAGAATGCCCACCTGACAATGCCCACCTGAGAATGCCCACCTGAGAATGCCCACCTGAGAATGCCCACCTGAGAATGCCCACCTGAGAATGCCCACCTGAGAATGCCCACCTGAGAATGCCCACCTGAGACTGCCCACCTGAGAATGCCCACCTGAGAATGCCCACCTGAGAATGCCCACCTGAGAATGCCCACCTGACAATGCCCACCTGAGAATGCCCACCTGAGAATGCCCACCTGAGAATGCCCACCTGAGAATGCCCACCTGAGAATGCCCACCTGAGAATGCCCACCTGAGAATGCCTGTGCCACAGCCCACATCCAGCACCGTTGCTCCCTCAATCAGGCTCGGATTCTCCTCCAAAGCTGCCTGGTAGGCTGTGGTCCGAGCCTGCAAGGCAAGTATGGTAAAGGAGCAAGGTGAGGAAGCGGAGTGATATTCACATGTGGAGGGAGGCGATGTGCGGCCCAGGCAGTGGGGTTGAAAGGGGCTGTGGCAGTGGGGTTGAAAGGGGCTGTGGCAGTGGGGTTGAAAGGGGCTGTGGCAGTGAAGGCATGGCACGGCGGGTGCACAGAAGCACACATGCAGTCCGTCACCTTGGAGCTTGGGCTGTGCTGCCACCTACTCTCACAGCGACAACCCGCTCTCCCATGCACCTCACTTGATGGCCCAGCCCGCCTCATACTCACCAATCCACCCACCGTGCTGCCTCATGCCACAGAGCGTGCATCAGCACATGTGGGAGAGACACGGACCTTATCAGAGAGCATTTCACGGTGGATGCCGAAGCCAGCGTACGAGCTGAAGTAGGACGCGTCGATGACGCGCATCAGTCTCTCCTGCACCGCCCCAAACGTCACCTGCCTCCGCTTCCTCTGCACCGCCTGCCCCTCCTCCCCACCCCCTTCCTCCTTCCCACCGGCACCAGCACCAGCAGCAGCAGATGCTGGTGCTGGTGGTGGCATGGGGGCGTCCAAGTCCGTGGCGACATCCACGGCCTCAGCCACGGCGGCCAGCTTCCTCTGAGCCTCATCGAGGGGCAACAGGGCGTAGCTGGGGGAGGGCGATGCCAGGGGCGTGGAGAAGGGCGTCCGCGGGACCACAGGACTGCCTGTCCCTGTCCCTCCTCCTTCCAACCCTACCACTCCCGTGCCTTCTCCTCCCGTGAAACCTGCCTTTGCTGCTTCCAATCCTACTGTTTTCTCACCACTAGCGCCACTGGACGCTGGCCGGGGGGAGAGGGGGATGGGAGGTCGGCCCTGCTTGTGCTGCTGCTGCTGCTGCTGCTGCTGCTGCTGGTGCTGGTGCTGCTGCTGCTGCTGCTGCTGCTGGGCGGTGACGTGCAGCAGCATGTCTTTCACCGACCCCTCATGCATCGCACCACCCGCCCCTGACTCGCCCACACCTGCAGCAGCAGCGGCAGCAGCAGCAGCGGTGGCAAGGGAGGCGTAGCTGGGGCAGGGGGAGACCAGCGGCGTCGAGAAGGGCGTGCGCGGCGCTGCTGCGTTGTGCGCTTGCCATGCTGCTGCAGCAGCCGAGGGAGCAGCAGGACCCGCGCCCGCACCTGCAGCACCACCTTCACTGGTGCTGCCGTCAGTGCTGTTGCTGGCGCCTGAGGCTTGTGCTGCAGCAGAGGCAATGGCGGCAGCGGCAGTGGCGGTGGCAAGGAGGGAGGCGGTACTGGGGGAGGGCGAGACCATGGGCGTGGAGAAGGGCGTGCGTGGCACAGCAGCGGCGGCACAGCTGGGAGCGGCACTCAAAAGACCTTCTGCAGCCCTCCCTGCTGACGTGGCAGCCAGCTGGTGTGCCAGCTGTGCGTTCTGTTGTCGCAGCAGCAGCACCTGATTGGCCAGCGCCACGTACTGCTCCAAAGACGGCGCCTCGTCCTCCCCGTCCGCACCCCAATCCTCCCTCCTTGCTCCTGTCACTTCTCCCACCTTCTCCTTGCCCTTGCCAACAGAACCACCTGAGGTCCCACCTGAAGGAATACCTGAGCTGCCTATTCCCCCTCCCATCCCTCCCTTGCTAGCTGCGTGCACTCCCGCACCTCCGCCCTCACTGCTCTCCGCCCCTGCCCCTTCCCCCTCCCCCTGCTCCCCCACTCCGCCCTCCCCCTGCGCCAGGGAGAGCAGCTCCTGGAACGCCAGCGCGCGCTCGTCCTCGCTGCTCCCCACGCCGTCCCCCTCTGCTGCTGCTGCTGCCGCCGCCGCACCCGCCGCGGCAGTGAGTGGTAACCCTGTAACGTCCACCACGTCACTGGCCTCACGTGCAGCCCCAGCGCCAGCAGCGGCGCCGCTGCCGTCCTTGGCGGGCCCCTCGCCGACGTCAGTATCGTCATCATCATCCAAGCTGTACAGCACAGGGTCACCTTCCAAGAAGCTTCTGAGGTATGCGTCGTCTCCCCAGGGGGGAGGGGAGGAGGGCTCAGACGGGGCGGAGAGGGGGAGAGGAGGGAGGAGAAAGTGCTGCGAAGCTTCCATGTGTTGAATGAGGTGAGGTAGGGAGGGGAAGGACTGTAGGCAGTGGATGCAGCGATGAGCCGCCACCTGGAGGCGCGGGGGAGGGGTGGGGGGGAAGGGGAAGAAAGGAGGAGGGGAGTCCACTTGCGAGTGAACACGGGCAAGCTGTTGTTGTGGAACCGACGGATGAGGGCAGGAACGAGTGACACGCGGGGGAGGATGAAACGTGGGTGTCAACACTGGAATAGTGCTTCAAGGCTGGGTTGCACCTCACCTGGGTCCGAATGAAGTTTACAGCGCGGATGCACTGATACTCGTCCCACTGCTGCGCTGCTCGCAATTGTCTCAAGTCGAATCCGCCATGCTCCGCGCGGCAGTGCTGCAGCATAGCGGCCGTGTTTGACAGCTGCACGCCAGTGCAGACAGAGAGGCAAATCACAACCGAAATGGGAAATCAGCAAAGGCTGCTTGGTAGTAGAAAGCACTATCGAAATTCTGTCATTGCCGTCACTGATACGAACGGCAACGGCCCTGAACCCCCCATATCCCCTTAACCCTTGATGCGGGGACATTGACCTCCCCCTCTCCTGCTCCCACTGCCCCTTCCTTCCTCCACCCCGTTCGCTAGTGCGTCGCGCGTTGCGCTGGTGAAGCATCTGTGGCCCGTCCGATTGCACTTGCCTGGCGGGGGCAGAAGAAGCAGCGCGCGGGGTCGTCCGCCTCCTCCTCGTCCTCCTGCCACTCCTCCCACTCCCCCACCTCCTCCGCGTCCTCCGCCTCCTCCATCGCAATGTCCTCCGCGCTCACCTCCATCCGCGCGCGCGGAAAACAGGAGAGCAAACGGAGATTTACGGGCCGCGGAAAGCTTAAACGATGCGCCGGAACGTAATTGCCAGCAAGCTCCCTTCTAAAGAGTCTCTACACGGTAGACATTAAAACATTGAATAAACGCAGACGAGAATAATCGGCCCAGCCTTGAAGCTCACACCCCGTGATTTGGCCGTTCCTAGCAAGAAAGGTTCAATTCAAACCAAGAACTGTGGTCGGCAATCCCAAGAAAACCCTTGGTGACTTCCTCACTAGGGTCTGTTGCGCTCGATTTACGCGCTTTAGGGAACGAAGATTGTGTCAAATTTGAAATGTTAGAATAGCAACACACCATTCTTTGCGACTTTTCCCCCTTGTACAGCCTCCCTTTATTTGGTTACCTTGCACGTGAATAAAAACACCGGATTTCCCCTACACACGTTTGCAAATGATTAAGCATGCAGGTTGGCAATCCAGTTGGGTGGTTGTACATCAGTGCAGGGAGAGCTGGTCCAACATGGCATGCATGAACTGTGGGTACACCCTCGACAGCGATGGCAGCACGTGTGACGGCGCTGACAGCAGGCTGCCCCACGGCCGTCCGTCCACCGCCTCCATCTCCCCTTGCCCGCTCCCTTCACCCGCCGCTCTGCCCTGCTCCGTCAAACCTCCGGCCGCTGCTGCCACCGCCGCTGCTGTTGTTGCTGACCCATAGATGCTTTCAAAGGCCGAGAGAGCTGCCAGCGACACGAGAAATGAAGAGAACGTAAGGGAGCAAGTCAATCAACTTGGACAAGGGAAGATGAAGGCAGGGGCAACAGACATTCTTAGGGTGGGAGGGGTTGGTCAGTAGAGTCGAGGGAAAGAGGGAGGGAGGGGTGGGATGAGGGGCAGGTGCAGCATGGCAAGGCAAGGGAAGAGCAGCCATTCCCAGCCTCCTCTCTCACCTTGACCGTCCGCCATGCCAGCCGCACCATTCACGCGCTCCCCGTCCCGATCCGCTGCATCTGGCGCAGGCGGGCTCTCCTCCCCACTCAGCACTGCGTACTCCCTGCCACCGCTCACTACCACTATGGACCACTGAGCTGCGTCCCCCTTGCTGCTGGCGGCAGGTGGGGAGGAGGAGGCGGGTGGCAGGAAGGCAACGGTGGCGGCGTTGACATCAGCCATCTCCCACGCTGCCATGGGCACAGGGCTTTCCCCCCTCTCGAACACCAGCACTGCCCCTTTCACCACCCCGCCTTCGCCTGCACTCCTCCTCACCCACCCACTCCTCCCCACACTACCCTCCTTCGGCCCCCCCTCCTCCCGTGCTCTTCCTCCTCACCCGCCCCCCCTTCCTCGTCCTTCCCCACGCCACTGCCCTGCCCTGTGTCACCGCCCCTCACACCACCGCTACCAGCTGTGGGAGCAGCAACGATGACGGCAAAGAGCGGTGCAGAGGGGTGCGTGGCGAGGGAGAGCACGCGCAGGTGGAGGCACCAGGCGAGGGAGAGGGAGAGCAGGCTCCACACCGACAGCGCTGCGTAGGGGGCAGCGGTTGAGCCTGGCGGGGCAAAGAAGGTCCCGGAGGGGGCGAGGGCGCCGGAGACAGTGAGGAGGAAGGGGGAGTGCGGCAGGAAGGCGAGCGCTGTGACGGGCTGGTGCCACGGCACGCCCGCCTGCAGGGGGCTGAGCGACGGCGCGCACTGCAGTACGGCCAGCAGCGCGTGGCGGTCGGGGTCCCAGAGGGTGACGCGGTGCAGGGCAGCCACTGCCAGCAGGGAGCCCTCCCAGGAGAAGCACGCCGCCAGCAGGGGCTGGGAGGCGTAGCTGCCCACCGCACGGCAGCGCCAGCAGAAGGTCAGCGGCGCGATGCCCGCCTCCCGCTCCTCCATGCGCTCCCTTGCCGTCTTGGCTTGCCCTGACCCCTGCACGCCTCCTCTCCCTCGCCCCCCGCCTCCTTTCACTCCCCCAAGCCCCTGCTTCCCCCCCTTCCTCTCTCCCTCCCCCCCCCCTTGGTCCTCCTCCTCCTCGCCCCACACACGCGTCCACGTGCGGAATTCACCGTCCGTGCCGCACGTCACCACCATGTCGCCGCCCGCCCGCACGTGCACGCCTGTCACCAGCCCCGCCGCCCCGTGTGGCGCATCCACCGCCGTCGTCAGCGCCGTCAGCCCCTCCTTGCTGCTCTTGCCGCCCTTGCCACTGCCCTGCCTCACGCCCTGAGTGCCGCCGAACGGCGCCGCCCAGAACTTGAGGGTGGACTGCTGGCCGGCCAGGTCTTCCGGCTGGCGGATCTCAACAGTGACGAGCGTGTGGCCGTCGGGGGAGAAGCACACGTGGCTCACCCAGATGGGCGGCGGCTTCGGCCCCTGCTGCTGCGGTGGCTGCGGCTGCTGTGGCTTGCCTTGCCCGCCCTGCAGCAGCCGCAGGGCGTGGTCGCGCTGCTGCATCTCCTGAGCCTTGAGCGCTTTCTTGTAGCGCACCTCAGCGGATGACACCACGTTGATGCGCATGAGGTGCACCTGCGCCACCACCTGCTGCCGACCCACGTCGTACACCTGCACCACCCCCAGCGGCCCCACCACCACCAGCCGGGCACTGCCGCCCCTCACGCTCTGCACCACTGCTGACGGGGCACCGCCGCCAGTCACTGCCAGCTCAACTGCCAGCTGGCGTGCCACGTCAGCCGGGAGGCAGTTGGAGAGGGAGGACGAGGTGGCAGAGGCGGAGGACGGAAGCGGGCCGAGGGGGGCTTTGAAGGGGTCGAGCGGAGGGAGGATGAAGTGGCGGGCGGGGAGGGGGCGCGTGGGAGGTGGGGGGGCAATGCCACGGATGGAGGGGATGAGGGAGGACTCGCTGAGGTCCACCACTCGCACACTGTTGTCGGCGCATTGCATTCCAAACCGCAACGCTTCTGGTGCTGCCGCCGGCGCCACCAGCGACCTCGCTCCCCCCGCCCCGCCTGCTGCTGCTCCTTCTGCTGCTGCTGCACTGGGTGCGGAGGGGCTGGGGGGAGGCAGCGACGGGAGCAGGGAGGGCGGGAGCACGAGGCGGAGCAGGGCGGCGGGCATGCGGGGGAGGAAGCGGCGCGCCCCTGACTGCAGCTGCCAGATGAGCGCCACGGCCTCGGCGCCGATGGACACGAGGTGCAGCCCGTCAGGGGAGAAGGCGAGGTCCGCCACGGGTTGGGCGTGCCAGTGCAGCGACGACACCGCCTCACAGTCCTCCTCCCCCTCCGCGCCCCTCCGCCCCTCCCCCTCCTCCTCGCCCTCCCCCTCCTCCCCTTCTCCTCCTGCTGCTCCTCCCCCTCTCCCGCCACCCCACCTGCCCCCGCCCCCTCCCCGCCCATCCCGCCCCCCTCCCCTTCCCCTCCCCCCTCTCCACCCGCCCTCGCGCCCTCCGCGCCCGCCACCTGGTGCGCCCCAGGCAGTGCCTTCCTTCCACGCCCACCCGGAGCGGCGGCCGATGCCGTGCCACAGCACCACGCGCCCCAACACGTCCCCCGCTGCCACCTGCACGCATGTGGGGTGGGCGAGGGACGGGGCACGTGGGAGGGCACGGAGAAAAGACGGGCGTGAGAGGAACCAAGGAACAGCAGTGGGCAGCATGAGCAGCATGAGTGGCACGAGTGGCACGAGTGGCACGAGCAACAACGGGGGCATTGGGGGGAGAGCGGGCATGGGGGGCTTGGGCGGCGCACCTGCTGGTCGTCGGGGTGGATGGCGACGCATGTGAGCGCGCGGCGGTGGTGCAGGTGCAGGCGCGCGTGGTGCGCGGGGCGCGTGAAGGGCGCCACAAACACCTTCCTCCCCGACGCCACCGCCAGCAGGCGCCCCGTCGCTGGACTGATGGCCAACGGTGATGACACGAGCATCTGGGGGGGGGGAGAGGAAGGGGGTGATGGGGGAAAGGGAAAGGGAGGAAGGGGGTGATGGGGGAAAGGGAAAGGGAGGAGCGTGGGAGAGGAAGGGCGAGCAGGGAGGTTTGAGACGGAGATCCCAAGGGCAGGGAGGTTTGAGACGGAGATCCCAAGGGCAGGGAGGTTTGAGACGGAGATCCCAAGGGCAGGGAGGTTTGAGACGGAGATCCCAAGGGCAAGAAAAGGCAAGAAGTGACGAGCAGGGTGGCGTGAGTGTGGGAGTGGCAGCAAGCACACACACTTGCAAGGTTGCAAGAGAAGAACGCCACCTGGTGGAAGAGAAGCAGCGACCTGGTGGAAGAGAAGCAGCGACCTGGTGGAAGAGAAGCAGCGACCTGGTGGAAGAGCGTCTTGCGGCAGCGGTCGTGGAAGACGTCGTACTGCAGCACGTCACAGCCGCGCTCCGCGTTGCCCACCACCACCAACGCCACTGGCGGCACCGCCCTCTCCTCCCGCCCCCCCGCACCCTCCACCACCTCCGTGCTCGCATACGGATACATCACCTGCTCAATGCGGGGGCGGGGAGAAGAAGCGGGAGGGGGGTGAGGGGAAACAAGGGGAAAAGGTATGAGGGCAGAGGGGACGCGGGGAAGCGGGGAAGGTAGTGGGGAGGCGGATGGGTAGGGATGGCGGGGGAAACGGAGCGCGAATCTGATACCAAGCGAGGGTGTATCTGGGGAAGGTGCGATCCAGGCAGTGACAGTCACTCACGAGGTCCCTGATTGGTCGGCCCAGGTGCAGCACTCTTAGCGAAGCCCCCGTTACAAAGTTCCAGAGCCGCATCGTGCCGTCCAGCGACCCACTCCACGCGTACACCATCGATGACGTGGTGGAGTCCGGAGCTGACACGTCAGCAGGGGGGTTGATCCCCATGTGGTCATCGTCGTCATCAGCACCTTGAGCGGCAGCGACGGTTGCGGCGGGCGGCAAGCGGGCGGCGGCGGAGGTGGAGACGCATGTGACGAGCGCCGTGTGGCCCTGCAGCACCGCCACCTGCCGCGGGGGGAGGGGGAGGGGTTGCGGGGACGGAGGGGTTGAGGGTTTGAGGCGAGGGGGTGGGCGACGAGCATGCGGCATCGGAACGGCTGTCGGGACTGCTTCGGACACACAGTGGCGAGTCAACTGCGTGGGTTCGGGGTTTATTGCGCCGCACGCACGGGGCGCACCTCGTGCGCGGGGAGAGCACTTGGGCGGCGGGATGCGCACCTGGGTGGCGGAGGCGAGCGCGAAGACACGGACGACGGCCCCGCACGGGCAGAGCAGGCGCTGGCCGTCCGCGCTGAACGCCGCGCGCCCGTCCACCAGACTGCCGCCGCCCCATGCCACTGGCGCGGCTGCCGCCAGGGTGGGGGGAAGCGCAGGCATAGCGGCCCGCGGTACAGGGGTGGGGAGCGGGAAGGGGTGTAGACAAGGGAAATGGCGGCGAGGTTGCGGGTTTAGGATTTTGGAGACGCACGGGGCGGATGCAGAGGTAGGCGAGCGACGGGAGGAAGAAACCGGGTCGCAGGGAAAGACAGCGAATCGACGCAGGCGCGAGTTGGGAGATGAGGTGTCCGTTTAGCGAGGGGAATGAGAGGATCAATCGGACGCGCGGCCGATCGTGCCGCTGCTGCTAATAATGTTAGCGCACGGGCCGCCTCAAAGAAATCCTAAGCGCCTTGTAACGCGCTCTGAAGCGCTCTTTCGAGACACCCTTTGCTTAGCTTCTTAGTTTCAAAAGGCTGTCTGTCTTGTAAGGCTTGGCGCGAGTGGTGAAAGGTATCGCCGCAACATATCTGCGACTATAGGCACCCTGTCATACCGCACAGCTCAAATGAACACAGGCTCACGGTGTAGCCAAGTTACTACATGAATGGGCATATGGTACGGTACTTCAAAACAATCTGATGGATTCCATTCCACTTTTCAAACTCACTGCACCAAGAAACAATGCACTCCTTAAGGAGGAAACCAGAAACCCCTTGTGATAAGAAAGCACAGTGTAGATCCACGCAAAAGTGGGAGACATCTCATAGCTCAGGAGCTGAATAAAGCATTGTAGACTCAGCTAACCAAACTTGAGCACGTGTGCTGTAGAGCTGATAGCATGTCAGCTATTCGTGTGCGAGTGTGTGCGGGTGCATACGGAGCCCACAGTGCCCCAGGGAGACGGCAGTAGGCGTGGTTGAATGCACATGCTACCCAAGCCATGCCACCTCTGCCAACCCCATGCCTCCTCCCATCCCTCTGCCCTGACGGCCCCCCTCTCTCGCATTCCCCCGCCCTCCCCCATACCCCCTCCCCATCCCCACACTCACCCCCACCGCTCCCACCACTCCCATCCCACTGGTCACCCCTCTTCCCATCCCTCCCCCCACCCCCGTCTCTGGTGCGCCCCCTCCTGCCCCCACCCCTGCTGCAGCCCCCCCCGCCCTGCCACCACCCCACCCCCCTCCCCCCTGCTGCCCTGCCACGGCAGCAGCAGCAGCAGCAGCAGCGGCGGCAGCAGCGGCAGACCAGTGGCCCAGCTGTCCTGCCTGCACCGGGGATATGCCCATGGGCTCCGCACCGCTCTCCACCTCTCCCTCTGCTTCCACCAATCCCTCTGCGCTGCTATCCCCCTGATCCTCCCCTCCTCGCCATCTCTCACTGTGTGTGGTGCGTGCATGGCCAGCAGCAGCAGCGCCAGCGGCAGTGGTGAGGTGTGGCAGGGCGGGCAGGGCGTGTGGGAGGTCTGTGGCAGCGCGGTAGTGGTGTGGTGCAGACGAGCCACTGGCCGTAGCTGAGGGGCGGGACCTGCAAGTGGGAGGGGGGGGGGCGCAGAGGGCAGGGGTAACATAGAGGATAGGTAACACAGTGCGTGTGTAACAGCGGCATGCACATCTTGCCATGGAGAAAAGCACATGGGCATGTTGCAGTGGAAATGGCATGGCGTTGTCAGTCCCTGCCCCACTCACCACATGAAGGCCCCTCCCTGCCCCACTCACCACATGAAGGCGGCAGCAGCAGCAAGGGGCGAGCAGTCCATGGCTCCCAGCGACCCGCCACTGCCCCGCCCACCTGCCACCCCGCCATGCCCCCCAGGCGCAGCAGCACCTGACAAACCACCCGCTGCCATAGCAGCAGGTACAGCAGCAGCCGTGGTGGGTGCAGGTTGCGCATAGGCAGCACTGAGAGGGCTCCAGGCAGCAGGGGGGGGAATGGAGTATCCCCCATGCCCATGTGAGCCCACATGCCCATGCGAGACCACATGCCCATGCGAGACCACATGCCCATGTGAGCCCACATGCCCATGCAAGCCCACATGCGTGTGTCTCTCCACAGAGCTGGGTCCAGTGCCATGCCCACTGCCTCTCTCCTGCCATCCAACCCCACCCACGCCTCCTGCCCCCCGCCCCTCATCCGCTCCCCCACCCTCCCGCTCGCCCCACCACCCCTCCCCACCTACTCCACCAGCCGCCATGGCCCCACTGCCAGCACCACCACCAGCAGCGGCAGTGGCGGCAGCAGTGGAGTGCGGCTGGTGGGGGTGGGGCTGTGGGGGTTGCAGAAGCAGGTCATCACAGAAGTACGGGTCCCACTCCGCAGGCCCATCCCCCTCACCTGCTGAACTGGTCTTTCCCCTCTCCCAACCCACTCCTCCTCCCCCTCCTCCTCCCCCTCCCCCCACTTCGCCCCCTCTCCCCTCATGCCCCTCACTCGCCGCACCTGCTGCTGTGCTGCCATTGCTGCTGTAATGAGAGCCCAGCCCCAACCCCAGCCCCAGGCTCACACCTGCTACACCCTCGACACCCCCTCCACCACCATCACCATCAGCTGCATCCCAAGATCGTGGCAGCTGAGCGCCCCCCTGCATGCTGGCACGGGCACTACCCACCTCCACAACACCCCCCTGTGCCCGCGCCTGCCGCCCTGCATCCTCACCATGCTGCCTGCTGCTACTGTCTGCGCCCTGCCCACCTCCCTTACAGCTGCTGCTCTCACCACCGCCTCCACTCGTTGCCTCTCTTGCCCCGCCGTGTTCCTCCCCTGCCATCCCTCCCTGCTGCAGCTGCCTCTGCTTCAACTCTTCTGCTTCTTGTTGCTGCAGTTGCTGCTGCTGCAACAGATGCTGCTGCTGTTGTTTCTGTTGCTGCTGCTCCAATTGTTGTTGCTGCTGCTGCTGCTGTTGTTGCTGTTGCTGCTGCTGCAGTTGTTGTTGCTGCTGCTGTTGTTGTTGCTGTTGCTGCTGCTGTTGCTGCTGCTGTTGTTGCTGCTGTTGTTGTTGCTGCTGCTGTTGCTGTTGCTGCTGCTGGAGCAGCAGCTGGTCCTGTTCCTGTTGTTGCTGCTGCATGATAGCCATCAGTCGCATCACCTCACTCTGCCTGCGCTGGAACTGCCCCATCACAGCCGCCTTCTCCAGTGCAATCCCCCCCTCCGCCCCGCCCCTGCCAACACTCAGCCCCATTCCCCCTGCCCCTGCGCCCACCAGCCCTCTAGCAGCGGGGGAGGGCAGCCCTCCGCCTGGGTTATGGGCGATGGTGTGGGTGCTGCCGCTGGGCCCCAGAGAGGACGCCTGCCCCACGGACCCTCGGGCCAGCGGGGAGGAGAAGTCGGGGTGGAGCGAGGAGGGGGAGAAGTGAGGCGAGGAGGTGGTGGGGGAGGAGGGCGTTGTGGGCTCACTCACACGCACCTGCAGGTGCCCCTGCCGGCCCCCGCGCTGTTGCTGGTGTTGGAGTTGGTGTTGGTGCGAGTGGGAGGATGGGAAGTGGCGGGAGTGGGAGGGCGGGGTGAACTGCAGAGGGCTGGCTCCCAGCAGCGAGTTGCTGCTCACTGCCTCTTCGCCCTCTCGCCCTCCCCAGTACCCCCCTCCCCCTCGCCCTGCCCCGTCCACAAGGAACGGCCCGCCTGGGCTTTGCCCCAAGGGCACATACGCGCAGTCCTGCCCCATGCCCTGCCACACTCCCACACCGCTGCCCCGCCGCTCCTGCTGCCTGCCGCCAACAGATACGGCGCCGGGGGCCGCAAGGGTGGCAGCAGCAGGAATGCTCATGCTCATTCCCATGCCCGTGCCCGTGCCCGTGCCCGTGCCTGTGCTCAGGGTGCCATCTGCTGCCGTCTGTGGTTGGCGAAATTGGGCGGAGAGCAGAGATGCAGATGAGGGCTGTAGCGATTGAGAACTCTGCAGCTGCTCGTGCAAGGATGACCGCCTCTGCTGCGACGGCTGCTGCTGCTGCTGCATTTGTTGCATCTGCTGCTGTTGATGCAGCCTCTGCAGCTGCTGATACTGCTGCTGCTGCTGCTGTTGCAATTGCAGTTGAAACTGCTGTTGAAACTGCTGCTGCAGGTGCTGCTGCTGGTACTGCTGCAAGGAGCCCCTTCCAGGACCCAGAGGGCTGGACGGCATCTGACTCATGAGACTCGATTGACTTGCTTGACTCAGCTGATTCACCTGACCTGCCTGATTCGCCAGCCCGGGCTGCCCCAGCTGGCCCATCTGCCACTGCGCCGCTTGATTCATGCTCGCCAGCGCAGGCAGCAGCTGCCGCGTGTCTGGGCTCTGCCCAAACCCTAATCCTAACCCCAACCCCAGCCCTCCACCGCCTCCTGCCGCTGCCCCGAACGACCCCGACCCCAAGTCTGTCTTGTGCCCTGCCGCAGCGAGGTGCGCAGCATAGGCCATGTAGGAGCCTGTGGGGTCTGTCAGACTGCCCGCCCCTCCCAGACTTCCCACGCCCGCCATCCCTCCCATCGCTCCCATCCCTCCCATGCCTCCCATGCCCCCCACGCTCCCCATGCCTCCCAAACCCCCCATGGCGCCAAAGCTGTTGCCAAGGCTGCCAATGCTGCCGTAGGAGCCCACACTGGCGCCAAGCGGGCCGTAGTTGTGCGGCAGACCGAGGGGCACCCCATACCCCCCCATGCTCCCATATCCGCCTTCGCCCATGCCTGCCCCCATGCTCGCACCCATGCCTGCACCCATGCCTGCACCCATGGCCAGAGCAGCAGGAGCAAGGGCGGTGGGCATGGCAGCAGGAGCAGGTCCAGACAGAGCCATGGCGGGCGGCAGTGCTGCTCCCACGCCCCCTGCTCCACCCAAGCTGCCTGCCATTATGCCCCCCTCCAACGCCCCTCCCCGCCCCGCTTCCTGGCCTCCCAGCGACCGCCTGTGCTGCAGCACACGCGCATGCTGCTGCTGCTGCTGCTGCTGTGCAAGGCGCGAGGCCCCCTCCCTGTGCAGCGGCTGCAGCTGAGCGCCCTCGGTGGCGTCCGCCTGCTGCTGCTGCGGGGCGGGTTGAAGCGGGGGTGAGACGCATGGGCGGATGGACGTGTTGAACACGGCGGTGAGTTGCAAGACGCAGTCAAGCAGAGCAACTGGAGAGAAGCGGGAGGAGTGATGGAGAGCAGCGGGAGGAGTGATGGAGAGCAGCGGGAGGAGTGAGGTGCGGAAGGCAGGGTGAGCTCACCTGGCGCTGTGGCTGGAAGGGCCCCACCCAGGGCTCGTCCGTGATGAATGGGTGTTGTGCCGCCTGCCAGTAGCCACGGGCGACGGAGAGATCCATGTGGGGTAGAGAGGAGGTGATACTTGGAGAAAGAGGGAGAGGGGAGGTGATACTTGGAGAAAGAGGGAGAGGGGAGGTGATACTTGGAGAAAGAGGGAGAGGGGAGGTGATACTTGGAGAAAGAGGGAGAGGGGAGGAAATGGGAGCAGAAGAGAGAGAAGGGAGGCAAGGGAAGCAAAGAGGACAGCAAAGCGCATGGAGGCGGGGGGGCGGGGTTCGGGTCGGAGACCTGGCGGGCGGTCCAGCGCTGTGCAGGGTCCATGTGGAGCAGCCCCGAGAGGAAGTCCACAAACGCCACTCGGCTCGCCCGCTCCTGCCGCGCCTCCTCCGCCCCTTCCCCGCGCCGCAGAGCATAGCCCAGCACGAGGTCGCTGAGAGCCGTCTGGCGGAAGTAGCGCTTCCCCAGCGCCGGGCGCGCTTCCCCTGCTGCCACCACCTCCTCCACTGTCTTGAGGCGGTACGCTGAACCGCGCCCATCCTCCCCCCCGCCCCCCCCATCTGCTGTGCGCACAAAGTACTTGGCCGTGTGCTTGGCGCGCCTCAACATGGCATCGGGCGGCTGGCAGCTGCAGGGCAGAGCGAGGGAGCAGGAAAGGTGAAGAAATGAGCGAGGGGAAGAAATGAGCGAGGGGAAGAAATGAGCGAGGGGAAGAAATGAGCGAGGGGAAGAAATGAGCGAGGGGAAGAAATGAGCGAGGGGAAGAAATGGGAGAGTGGAATCCTCGTATGAGAAAAAGAATATAGGGATAAATAAATGAGGGGGGTGATTAATGCGGAGGAGCATGGTTGAAGGCAGTAGGGAGAGCACAAGGAGTGAGTGTGCGTGAGGGGCAGTGACTGACCCCATGGTTTCGACCATGCGGTGCAGCATGTCAAACTCGGAGGCGCCAGGGAAGAGCGGCAGGCCGAGGAAGAGCTCCGCCGCCACACAGCCCAGCGACCACAGGTCGATGGCCGTGCTGTACGCATGCCCCAACACCACCTCCGGCGACCGGTAGAACCGACTCTGAGGAGGGGGAAAGGGGGAAGGGGGGCACACATGGGGACGCAGAGGTGGGGGGACATGGGAGAAGAGGTGAGGGGCATGGGAGGGGCACGTGACGACTGCAGACACAGAGCATGAGACAGACAGAGCAGGCAGCAGTGATTGATGGTGGCTCAAGTAAGTGGTTGCTTGCTCGCACATGCAGAACAGCTGATGGCAGGGTGCATGGCAGCGAGGCCCAAGAGTGGCACCTGGATGTAGGAGTACACGGTTCGATTCTCAGTGCACGCAGAGCCGAAGTCGATGAGCTTGATCTCGCCGCCCAAGCTGGGGTGAGCACAGGGGGGGTCGAGCAGGAGATGCGGGGTAGGAGGGGGGAACAGGCATAGGCGGCGGGGAGGAGGGGGCGTTGATGACAGAAAGCACATGGGCAGCAAAAGATGAGTCAACCAGCAAAGCTTCACCGTGCATCACAACTCGATCTGTGCCCTTGGTTTCTTGGCACTGCAAGCCCTGTAGGTCGCTGAGTTCCGCAGGGCCATGGTGCAGTGCACCCCAGAGTGCAGCACGCGGGGCGGGGCACACCTTTTGAGGAGGATGTTCTCGGGCTTGAGGTCGCAGTGTATGACTCGCGCATCCTCCAACACCGTCAGCGCCACCAGCAGCTGCCGCGCCCAGGGGACATGGCGTGGCAGGGAGGGGGGCAGGGTGAGGGGGGAGAAAGGGGTGGACGTGGGAGGAACTGACAGCATGGAGGAGGTACTGAGAAGCAGGAGGCGTGTTGACAACAGACGTGTGAGTAATGGGTAGTAAATCAGGGAGGGAGGTGTGACGAGCAGGGAAGGTGGCAGCACACCTGTTTGGTGAAGAGGCGCACGAGCTTGAGTGAGAGGCCGCGGAACTGGTTCTGGCGGATGAGCTCAAAGCTGCACAGCGCAAGACACAGGCGGAGGTGAGCGAGGGCCAGCAACACAATGCAATGCTACGACGCTGACTGCTGCAGGAAGAAGGCCCAGCGCGCGTGGCTGGGGTGTGGTGAGCGTGTGCGGGAGGGCGAGGGCGAGGGCGAGGGCGAGGGCTCGGGGTGGGGGTGGGGCAGGTGACTGACAGATTGTAGGTGAGGAGTTCGAAGACGATGCAGAGGTGGCTGTGGCACACGAAGTGGTCAACCAGTCGCACTATGTGGTGCTCGTCCAATGGGTCATACGACCCGTTCAACTGCTCCCAGCAACGGAGGGGAGGGGGCGTGGGGGGTTTGGAAGGGGGGAGGAGGACGGCAGGATGAGGAGCAGCGAAAGGGAGTTGGAGGAGAAATTGTGACGCAATAGCGTGTCAATTGCAGCACGAACGGCCATGCAGCACTAGTGCGTGCGGTGCAGAGTGGCACGTGCTCGATGAGATCAGCAGCCCAGTCCCCCTTGGTGCAGTGATTGATGACGCTGTCAGCAGTGATTTATGATGAGGCAGAGCAGACGGGCCTCACGAGGCGGAGGATGCTGATCTCGACAAGCGCCTGGTGGTAGTAGGCGGGCTGGTTCTTGATCACCTTCACCGCCACCACCTCGCCCGTCTCACTGCTCTCGCACTTCACCACCTGCCCGAACGTGCCCTGCCCCAACACGTCCCGCACCACGTATCTGCGCGGAATGAGCGGGAGAAAAGGATGGACGTGGGGGATGAGAAAGGGAGAGGGCACGCGTCTCCTGATGCGCACCTCCTGTGCAGATCGTGCGTGGCCCATGTGACTATACAGAATGAGAATGAGATTGCGATTGGGATCAACGCCTGGATGAAGGTTGGGAGAGGAGCGTCAAGGGTGCAAGGGGGTCGCGAAGCAGTCTGAAGCGCAAGGGCGTGCGGGTAGCGCGGCGGACAGCGCCGTCTACCACGCGCGGGCGTCACCTGGGGGTGCCGGGATCGCCGTGCAGCACGAGGCCCGTGGAGAGAATGAGGTCGGAGTTGGCGTTGTCCCACCCCTCGTTCCCCGCCGCCTCCGACGGCTTCGTCAGCACCACGCGCGCCGCCGCCCGCTCGCCTTCACCCGCACAGCCCTCCGGCGAGGCGCCATACTCGCCAGCCGCGGGTTGGTCGGGAGCGGCGGGCGCGGGGTTTGAGGAGGGATGGTGGGCAGCGATGTGGGCGCGCGAGGCGTCGTTGCAGGCGGAGTAGGTGTGCTTGAGCCCCGCCGTCATCCGCACCAGCAGCTGGCGCACGCCGAGGCACAGCGGGGGGGCGGAAGGGGGAAGAATGAGGGGCGGAAGGCACAGGATCGAAGAAGAGGAGAAAACACAGGAGAGCACTGTCAAGAAAACGGAGCGTTGGAGAAGTAACAAGCAGATGCGCTCGGGAATGAGGGAACGTGAGGAGAGGCAAGCACGACGAGGGGGGAAGGAACGGCCAGGTAGTGACAACGAAAGAGGAGCTAACTCCGTCTGCCACTAATGGCTGAAACAGTGGACTAGAGCAGTGAGGGACCAGTGCCGGTGTAAGAGGTGGAAACGACATTGCGGCAGGTGAGCGGAAGGATGTACAGGGCTGGATGCCATGGTCATGACGCACCCTAGGGCGAGAGGATTGCCAGAGTAACGACGCGTCCTGTGACAGGATATCGAGATTGAAATATCCCAACCAGCCTGACTCCGCAAGTCTCAGCCGCATCAAACATCTCCCACAGTCGCCACGACAGTTTGCATCCGTACCAAAAGAACTCCACAAATAGCTCATAAAACGGACACATGACACAACGGTCCACGAAACTCCACTGGTCCATCCTTCTCCATGCCTACTCGGCCGGCGGTTAGCAACCGACGTGGTCAATCAGGAGCCCCCGAATCACCGTGGCCTACTTGCCAAGCATCCACTAAAGCAGGCGGGCCCTGCAGACAGCAGCGGGCGACGGCGACGCTCGGCGGACTTACTGGCGTCCGCTGGTTCGATTCCTGCCGCTGCTCGCCGTTCTGCTCCGCGTGCGCGTCCGACACGCGCGCCACCACGGAGAACGCTCCTTGCCGAGGCATCCAAGCGCGCGTCACCGGCGCCGATCGGGATTCCGACTCCTGCCTCGCACCGAATAGGTCAGTCGCTCCGTCTAATCCGAAATTGGTCTTTGAGTTGTCCGATTGTTCCTGACTAAGATATAAATTCCAAAGGTCGTAACCAAGGCTGTCGACGTCATGATCGTTAATCGCAGGTGATTGCGAAGATCCGAGATTGAGGCTTCCCATTTCCTGCAGCCAGTCTACTGCATAGCCTCACTACGGAATCCTCAACCGTCGAATTCCCTCGTGCACCGGAGCAATACGACGAGCCCATAGGCTCCAGAGAACAACCCCTGGGCCCACTAACCGTCAGGCTGAAGCATCTTATCGCTTCACGATGGCAGAGAGCAGGTATGTGTAGTGAAAATGGTGAGGTATATTCGATCGCAATGGGAGTAGCTATGGTTGGAAGCACTGCGCGAGCGCGAGAGCCGAACGGACTATACTGAAAAAAGTTGCAGGGGGAGCACAAGGCGGAAGGCCCGCAAGTGAACAGTGCCCGCCGACAGCCTCCGTTCCGCCATGATGAACTGGGTGCTCGCATCAGTGACGTGTCGGACGGGCTGCCAAAACCGCACAAGCGAGGAGGCCATGTCGATGCTGGGAAGGTTTCGCGTGTAAAGCAGCTGGAAGCTGCGATGGCCCTGCAGCAGCATGCGACGCTCCTTTGGGGTTTCCATACGACCACTGCTGCCCACGTGCATTCGCGACGTTGTCGAGGTTTTACGGTGTGAGTTCAAGGTGACTGAAACGGGCTGCTGGAGGTGGGCCTTTTGAAATTGGGATTTGTCTACTAGAGCACTCATACGATGACACTAGTAGCTTATGATGCAAATAAATGCACACAGGGGTGTGTTCGGTAGGGATGTTGTTATTTAGGTCTCAATCAATACTTTCAAAATATCAAAATCAAGGCCATCATGTTAGCAATAACTAGCTTGGGGTATGGTAACTATAAACAAGTTTGGTCTTAACGTGGCAAGATTTACGGAGGGTTGATGGCAACGTGGACACCACGCTGGCAAGATTTGACCTAAACCTTGCCGCGTGGAAAGGCTCCACAGAACCTTCTGGGTGGCCTTCTGGAATATCAGGGACTCTTCTTCCACGTGGCGTCCTTCGTGGCCAAATGCTGTTAGGTTGAAGCTTGAGGTTCTTCCTTGCCTACTACACCCATTCCTCCATTCCTCCTATCTCATTTTCCTAACTCGATCGCAACATCGCCACGCCACTGCTCTCCGCACCAGACGCTCATACTTGCCTCTTCGCGCTTCCGTGAGCGTCTGTTCCTGTTATCGTGCTTGCCGAAGAAGGTCCTGGTCATGGCGTCGATCTTGGCCCATACCATGGCAGCAGCTCAAACTGCAGTGCCCGCAAAGGTAGTTGTTACAGGAGTTTTTGTAGATTGTTTTTTCTTTCTCATTTCTGCACTCTCGTCAACCATCGGCTTCGTATTTCTTGTGGCATGCCCACGCAGCGGCACAGTATCAACTGACGGCGATGTCTCTCCCTTCTCTCCCCCCACCCATCCCCCCTCCCTCCTCCCCTCCACGTGCAGATTAGCAAAGCGGCGGCTCTAGCGCCAGGCAGTCGCCAGCTGGCTTCGTCCTTCGCCCGTTCACCTGCCACTGCGCGCACTCGGCGGTCACTGCGGGTGCGCGCAGAGGCGAAGGACATTCTGTTCGACCAGGCGGCGCGGTCCGCCATGCAGTCTGGCATCGACAAGCTCGCGGACGCCGTAGGCGTCACGCTCGGCCCGCGAGGTACGCTCTTGGGCTCGCGCCGCGAGTCGCGAAACGCAATCCCGCCTGTGTCAAGGCTGCCGTGTGCGCCGTTACCACGAGCGCGCCAGTGTAGACGGGTCACTAAGTGTCGCACGGCCAGTCGTCGGTCGTCGTATCGGGCGACGCGCCCATCATTCGTACGATCAGCCACCGGGATAATCATGAACCAACGTTTGATTAGCCAATTCGTCGTACAATCAGCCCAGGATATCGTGCGATCAGCCAACATATCGTGCGATCAGCACATTTAACTGATCAGCCAATTTATTGCACGACCAGGAACCTCTCGTACGACCAGAAATTTTGCGTACGGTCAGGAATTGTCGTACCATCAGAACCTTTTTTTACAGGAGAATGTGCTTTCACCATCACCCAAGTGTCACACCATCAGCCGTTCTGTCAGCCACCAGTCACATCAGCGCGTGGGTTGAGGCATCGATCATGTTCTCCTGGTGTGGGGCGCAGGTCGCAACGTGGTGCTGGACGAGTTCGGCACTCCCAAGGTGATCAACGACGGCGTGACCATCGCGAGGGCCATCGAGCTGCCCGACCCCATGGAGAACTCCGGCGCCGCGCTCATCCGCGAGGTCAGAATCTCGCCACTGCATTCTATCACTTGGGAGCGGGTTTAGGGTAACTGGGCAAACACAGAGGGTTCTGGGGAGTGTGTTGAGCTTGCAGCTCCCTGCGCGCCGCAGTCACCGACCGCACTCCAGCAGCGGCATTGCGACTTACGACCTCGTCTCTTTGCAACGTACACGCATGCCTTAACCCAGTTCCAGACATTCTGCCGCTCGAATCTCACACCCATCACACAGCCATCGCTTGCAAATCCGCGATGAAACACTCCCCCTCGTTACTGCACATTCCGCCAGGTGGCGTCGCGCACGAACGACTCGGCGGGCGACGGCACGACGACGGCGAGCGTGTTGGCGCGCGCGCTGATCAACCTGGGGCTGCTCAACGTCACGGCGGGCGCCAACCCCGTCGCGCTCAAGAAGGGCATCGACAAGACCGTCGCGTACCTCGTCGACGCGCTCAAAGACCGCGCGCGCCCCGTCAAGGGCCGCGACGATATCAAGGGTGCGTGCGCGGGGCGCTGTTGCAGTAGTAGCTCGCGCTTGGGGGATTGGCGATGCGTCTTTAAAAGCTTAAGTTTTGAATTCGGGTGATCAGCTCTCATGCGGCGTGCGTATGGCAATCCGCGAGACTCGCAGCATCTCAATCTCACTGTCTCCCCTCGCACACGCCCCCTCCCCGTCTCCCACCTCCGCTCCCTCGTCGTCACCGTGCGCGTGCCGTATCCTCCCCCTTCACCGAGCAGCGGTGGCGACGATCAGCGCGGGCAACGACGAGGAGATCGGCGCGATGATAGCGGACGCCGTCGACAAGGTGGGCGCCGACGGCGTGCTCTCCATCGAGAGCTCCTCGTCCTTCGAAACCACCGTCGACGTCGAGGAAGGCATGGCGGTGAGTTGCGCTGCGCTGCTTCTCCGCGCACGTGCTTCGTGCCCCTTTGTGTGTGCGTTTAGGGGGTTAGGTCATCCGCACCCCTCGGCTCCCGCTTTCCACCCGCCTCACTGCCGCCCCTACCACTCATCTTCCCTCACCCGCTTTCTCCCCAACCCCTTCGCCAATCCGCCCCCGAATGCGCAGATTGATCGCGGTTACATTTCGCCGCAGTTCGTGACGAACACGGAGAAGATGCTCGTGGAGTTCGACAACGCGCGCGTGCTTGTCACGGACCAGAAGGTCAGTGCGCGCGCAGTTGTAGTGCTGATGGTTGGAACGGTGAGATGTGAATGACACGATAAGCACGAGCCAGACGCTATTGCCCATTCCCCCCCCCCCCCCCTCCCCTGTACCCCCATTTGGCGCGCTTTCCTTGTCGCTGCCGTGCTCCGCTTTTCATGGCTGACACGCGCTCCTTGCCACTCACACGCTCAGCGCCTTCTGCACATGTTGGCTGCCGCACTAACTCCCCTCCCCTCACGTCTTCCTCCCCGCCCCACCCGTCCCCCTGTCGGGCTTAGATCACGGCGATCAAGGACATCATCCCGGTGTTGGAGCGCACGACGCAGCTGTCGGCGCCGCTGCTGATCATCGCGGAGGACGTGTCGGGCGAGGCGCTCGCGACGCTGGTGGTGAACAAGCTGCGCGGCGTGCTGCAGGTGGCTGCCATCAAGGCGCCCGGCTTCGGTGAACGCCGCAAGGCGCTGCTGCAGGACATTGCTATTGTCACGGGTGAGAGAGGGGGCTGAACATAACTCAGTGCAAGAACCAACGAAATGGATGAAACAATTGTGTGTGTGTGCGCGCGCGCGCGCATGCGTGCGTGTGTGTGTGTGTGTGTGTGTGTGTGTGTGTGCATGTGTGCGAGAGTGTGTGTGGATGCGTGTGCATGTGCTAACCTGATGGACTACCCCTCCCCTCCCCTCACCACCCCTTTCCTCTCCAGGGGCGGAGTTCATGGCGTCGGATTTGGGGCTCAAGGTGGAGGGCGCCACGGCGGACCAGCTGGGCGTGGCGCGCAAGGTGACCATCAGCAGCGGCAGCACCACGCTCATTGCTGACAGCGCCACTAAGGACGAGATCGCGGCGCGTGTGGCGCAGATCAAGCGCGAGCTGCAGGAGACTGACAGCGTCTACGACACTGAGAAGCTCTCCGAGCGCATTGCCAAGCTGGCTGGTGGTGTGGCCGTCATCAAGGTCCGTGCTACGCTTGCTGCCTGCTGCTTGCTGGGTGCTGGGTGCTGTGGCTGGGTTGGTGATACATAGCTCATGAGAATCGCAGGAACACACGTTCCACTCCCGGGCACGTGAGTTGCTGCTCACACTGCACGCCATGCACCTGTGCTCCTCGTGGTGGTGTGGTGCACAGGTGGGGGCAGCAACGGAGGCGGAGTTGGAGGACCGCAAGCTGCGCATTGAGGACGCCAAGAACGCCACGTTTGCCGCCATCGAGGAGGGCATCGTGCCGGGCGGCGGCGCCACCATGGTGCACCTCGCAGCGCTGGTGCCGGGCTTCAAGGCGCAGCTGACGGACGCGGAGGAGCGCATCGGCGCTGACATCGTGGAGCGCGCCCTGCTGGCGCCGTGCTCGCTCATCGCTCACAACGCGGGTGTGGAGGGCGCAGTGGTGGTGGAGCGCGTGAGGGAGAGCGAGTGGGAGATGGGGTACAACGCCATGGCCGACCAGTATGAAGACCTCCTCGCCTCTGGTCCGTGCTCCTCCCTGTGCTCGCCCCTTGCCCCGTGCCACTCCCTGCTCGTCCTGTGCCACTAGGAGCTTGCCCCATGCCCCTCCCTGCTTGGTAACTCTGGCGCATTCTGTGCTCTGCACCTCCATGAGCACCCGCGCTGCGCTGCTCGCCACTCATCTGCTCACCACTCCACGCTCCCTCCACTCTCCCATGCATGCAGGAGTGATTGACCCCGCCAAGGTGACGCGGTGTGCGCTGCAGAACGCGGCATCGGTGGCGGGCATGGTGCTGACGACGCAGGCCATCGTGGTGGAGAAGCCCAAGAACAAGGACGCCGCTGCTGCCTCCACCCCCTACTCGCCACAAGTGCCCCTTACCCTCTAGGCCATTCAACCAGCTAGACAACACAGCTTGAGGTGTTTAGAACCTGGAATAGTGTCCATGCAATGTAGCAGTTTTGTCATTCTGATGTTGCCATTTATCAATCTTCAAACACGTGACCACAACTGCTTGCAGCTGGGTAGACCTCAACTGCCAAAGCTGGAGAAAACTGCATGGCATGGCATTGTTGGAGAGTGTGCCTATGGAGAGGGCCACTTTGGGGCATTCTGGCACGTCCATTCCACTGAAGACAACCAAAGTGAAATCTAGGAAGGCATTGGTTTGAAAAGGTGTGAATATATGCTGTTGGATGGGTCCATATGCCCAATAATCTGAAGGCATTGCATTGAAAGACATTGCAGAGGTGAGATGACACAGCACCAAGTGAAATCCTACGGAATAATGAAGACGACTTCGGGAAGTCAACAAAAGTTTCGCGCCAGCAAGGGGTCGAACCTTGGACCTCTCGCTTAGGAAGCGAACACTCTATCCACTGAGTTACAGGCGCTGACGACACTGTCTTCGTATTTTTATTTACCAGAAACAAAACAACAGCTTGAGAATCAACAGCTGACCTTTTTGTTTACTTATGGCGGATGAGACGCGGAGCAGCGATGCTTCAGTGGCGGCAGGCGAGCGGATGCTAAAGCGCTGCTTGCGATGGAGTTGAGTGTTGCCGCTCTGCTGCATCTGCGCTTTGACACCTTGTGGCGCACTTGCCCTCTCGCCCTGCACTGCCGCCTTCTGTCCCATCGCGCGCCCCTTTCGATCTCCCGTTCGTCCCGCTCCCTGCAGCCTTCCACCCATCCACACATGCACGCGTACGCGCCACTCGCTTTCCTCTCAACAAACGCTCCTCGCGTCGCTCCCATCCTGAACCCCCCCTCGCCCGCGCCCCCTCGTCCAGATCCGACGGTCCGATTCCTCCGCGAGTCGCTGGAGCGAGCTGGGTGCGCCGTGAGCGATGATTTCTTCACTGCGCGCCGATGCGACGAGCAGGCGGGCGGCGGCTTCATGCCGGGCGAAGGGGTGAGCCCTGGGAGGGAGGGGGTTGGGGGGAAGAAAGAAGAGGGGGAATGGGAAGAAGAGGGAGGGGAACGGGGCAAGTGTGATGGGTGAAGAGCAAGGGGCGAAGGGCTGGGCGCTGAGTAAAGGCCAGGCTAAGGGCTTGCACGAGCATTGGGGCAAGGTTGACGTTAACGGAGTTGTCATGCTGTGTCACAGTCCCGGCCATGCCATGCCTGCTCATGTGTTCCTGTGTGATACCACCCATGCTGCACCTGTGTGCGCGGCATGGGTGCATGGGTGCATGGGTGCATGGGTGCATGGGTGCATGGGTGCATGGGTGCATGGGTGCATGGGTGCATGGGTGCATGGGTGCATGGGTGCATGCGTGCATGGGTGCATGGGTGCATGGGTGCATGCGGGGTGAGCAGGTGGTGGTGTGTGCGAACCACGTGGGCGGGCAGGACGAGGTGGACGTGGTGGTGGCGCACGAGCTCGTGCACGCCCTCGACCACTGCCGTGCTAAGAACCTCCACTGGCCTGACCTCCAACACCACGCCTGCAGCGAGGTAAGCCCCCCGCCCCCTGCCCCCAACCTCCTTGCTCGCCCGCCATGCACATACTGCCATGCACATACTGCCATGCACATACTGCCATGCACATACTGCCATGCACATACTGCCATGCACATACTGCCATGCACATACTGCCATGCACATACTGCCATGCACATACTGCCATGCACATACTGCCATGCACATACTGCCATGCATGCCCATCTCATCGTGCCATGCATGCCCATCTCATCGTGCCATGCATGCCCATCTCATCGTGCCATGCACCCGTGCCCCGGTGCTGCCATGCATGGCCATATGGAGCATCAGATCCGCGCAGCCAACCTGAGTGGGGCGTGTCACATGCACCGCGAGCTCGCCACGAGGGGGTCCGACTTTGTCTTCCGCAACGGCCACCCGGTGAGCTGACCCTGCCACGCGCTGGTGGTTCAGGTTGCAAGGCCGGGCTGGTTGGCTGTATTGTGGCATGGGGTGGTGAGGGGAGGGAAGGTTGCAGCCACCTGACTGCTGTTTCTCACCCCATGCCTGCTCCCTCACTCCCCCTGCAATGCAATGCAGTTTACGTGTGGACAGTCAAGCGTTAACTGTCACATCCATGCTCTCTCTCTCTCTCTCTCTCTCTCTCTCTCTCTCTCTCTCTCTCTCTCTCTCTCTCTCTCTCTCTCTCTCTCTCTCTCTCTCTCTCTCTCTCTCTCTCTCTCTCTCGTCCCCCCCCTCTCTTGCTACGGCAAGCAGCAGTGTGTGCGGCGCAAGGCACAGCTGTCAGTCGCCATGAACCCCTTCTGCTCCGACGCCCCCCCCACCTCTGCCACTGCCACCACCGCCAGCGGCAGCAGCGCCAATGGAAGCAGCAGTGGCAGTGAGGCGCCTAGCAACAGCAGTAGCAGTGCGGCGTGCATGGCTCGGGCGCGGGCGGCAGTGGATGCGGTGTGGGATGTGTGCTACCATGACACCACTCCCTTCCACCGCATCCCCTGATGCTCCCCTCATCAACACTTTCATCACCCACAAGCGTTTACACGCGGCATTTAGACGCGTTGTTGCAAAAATATGCTCACCAAGTCGTTTGCTCATGTTTCTCCTGAACTAGGATACCGAGTTAGTTACCTTAGTGAATTCTGGTGCAGACAGTAGATTAGAGATGCTAGAGCGGCTTGCGGCGACCAAACCTTGTTTTGACAAGCATGACATGACGGTGCTCCATGTGACCACATCTGATGCTGCTGCTGCGCATGGTGCCCTGCCCTGCCTGCAGCAAACCGCTGCTGGGCTCCCACCCATGCATCCATGCCTTGTGTGGCTTCCTTACTTGCATCTGTTACTGTTGTGATCAACAATGCACAGCCTCAATAGCGGACCCAAGAGGGCTTTTATTGTAAATAATACATAGGGTAGTGGCTGCTAGGCAGGCATTCAAAGGGCATCAGGAGGGGGCAGCGAGGGGGGGTTGGGGGGGCGCGAGGCGCAGCGAGCGCAGCCAGTCGGTGAAGCCGGGCTCGGGGGTGGGCGGCAGCTTGGCACGCACCGCTGCTCGCTCCTCCTCCTGCATCTCCCGCAGCGGTGGGAACAACAACTCCTGGCGGGCAGAGAGGGGGAGGTGCGCAGGAGCAGTGGGGGAGGAGTGGTGGGGATTGTGAGAGAAAGTGAGGAGGTGCGAGCAGAGCAGAGGCAGCTGCAGTGCAGAGTGGGGTGCTCCGTCCTACATTGTGATTGTCACCACTCACACCTCAATTGCCTGCTCAGCAACTCTCCTGACCAACGCAACTGGACTGATTAGGGAAGATCACCCAAACAATAAGCCACGTGAAATGCAACCCCACCTCAACAGCGAGCGGGTCCTTGTGTACCTCAACAGCGAGCGGGTCCTTGTGTACCTCAACAGCGAGCGGGTCCTTGTGTACCTGAACAGCGAGCGGGTCCTTGTGTACCTGAACAGCGAGCGGGTCCTTGTGTACCTGAACAGCGAGCGGGTCCTTGTGTACCTGAACAGCGAGCGGGTCCTTGTGTACCTGAACAGCGAGCGGGTCCTTGTGTACCTGAACAGCGAGCGGGGTCCTTGTGTACCTGAACAGCGAGCGGGTCCTTGTGTACCTGAACAGCGAGCGGGTCCTTGTGTACCTGAACAGCGAGCGGGTCCTTGTGTACCTGAACAGCGAGCGGGTCCTTGTGTACCTGAACAGCGAGCGGGTCCTTGTGTGTGGGCGTGAGGCGCGCCGTCATGAAGGCCGCTTCCGCCGTGCCCTCCTGCCATGCCGTGATGGGGACGGGCACAGGGTGGTTAGAGCGGGGAGAGCAGGGCCAGGATGCGGAACTGAAGATGGGCACAGGGGGGAGCACACGGGCAGCACACACACATACATAGATCACCTCCCAGCATCCCCTCCTAACCCTCTCCCCTCCCCCCCTTTGCCACTGACAGTGAAGCACAGTACGCGCGGCGCCGGGAACCTGCCTCTGCCGCCCGGCCCGCCCATGAGCTGCGCTGCCAGCTGGCGACACGCCGCCTCCACTCCGCGCCTCGTGGGCTCATCCGGCGCCAGGTGGGCGCCCTGCAGGGAGAGAGGGAGAGGGGGGGGGGGATGGAGAGGATGGCGCAATGGTGTGGCGTGGGGTTGGGGGAGAGGGGCGGTGGCAGTCAGAGGTTGTGTGTGTGGTGTGGGTGGAGGAGAGGAGACAAGGGGCAAGTGGCACTCATGACGGGCGGCGGCACTCCTGACGGGCGGCGGCACTCACGAGCCAGATGAGCATGTCGGTGCCGTGGTCCAGCACCAGGGCGGCATCTGATGTCAGCGCCAGGTCAGAGGGCGGCACTTCAACGAACTGGGTGGCGTGGCCGGCGCGGAACATGAGCAGCGAGGGCAGCACCATGCGCAGCGCCGCCTCCCCCCCTGCGCGCAGCAGCAGAGCGCGCAGCGCCTGGCGCTCCCACTCGCTGGCCACGTGGCGCCCCAACACGGGGCTGCGCCTCACCTCGTACAGCGCCTCCGCCACCCTGCAGTGAGGGGGGGGGGTCGGGTGGGAGACGTGGGAGTGGAGGGGGGAGGAGAGGAGATGGTGCAATGGAAGGCGAAGGCAGGTGGCGACACTGCAAACAAACACCCTCCCGCTGCTTCCTCGTTTCTCTCCCTTGCCTCCCTGCCTGCCCGTTGCACCTGCGCCAATCACAAAACTCCCCCCCCAACCTGCCCCTACCATTTGCCCCCCGTCAACTCACCGGGGCAGCTGGTGGGGGAACTGCAGCAGCGAGCGGTTGTGCTGCGCCACGCCGCCCAGCTTGAGCGCGAGGTCACGCGCACGGGCGTCCACCCACGCGCGCATCTCCCCCGCCTCGCGTGCTGTGGGCGCCGCCAGCACGGTGCGCTTGGCGATGAGCAGCGCTGCCGTGGGCTCGTGCACCGACGCCAGGTACGCTGTTAGCGATGGCGTCACTGGCAGACGCACCGTCACCACCCGCGTCACCACTGCATATGGAAGGGGAGGAGGGGAAGGGTGCCAAGTGATGGGTGCGCGTGCGTGCGTGCGTGTGCATGAGCATGAGCGCGCATGCATGTGGGCGTTGCGTGGGTGGGCGCGTGGCAGAAAGAGCAGAGCAGTGCAGTGCAGCTGGGACGAGCACGTGGGCGTGACAAAGAGCAGCAGAGTGGTGGCAAGGCAGCGAATGCTGGCAGCACCCACATAGTGGCACAGCCAGCACTCACGGTCATGGTTGAGGAGGCGGAAGCGGCAGAGGAACTGGAAGAACACGTGGTGGCGGGTGAGGTCGTCTGTGAGCTCCATGCTCACCGCCACCGCCGCCTCCTCGTCCACACTCAGCAGCGCCACCGCCGTCGCACTGTCCTCGGGGAACCCCTCCTCCCCGCCCGCCCCCCTGCGCCCCCCGCCCTCCTCCGCCTCTGCAGGGCCGATCACGCGCGTCACGGCCACCTCGGGCGAGCAGCGCACCTCCAGCGACCCTTCAGCGCCCACGATGCGGGAGAGGGCGCGCAGCAGCAGGGGGGGGAACGCGGCGGGGCTGAACTCGTCCAGCGGCACCAATGCGCCCCCGGACAGCGCCGCCAGGGGCAGCAGAGCGGGCACGCGCACGAGCAGCGCCCCCCCCGAGAACACGTCCACCACGGCGCCCATGCGCCGCGCCTCCCTGCCCAGCGCCTCGTAGTGCCGCCGCGCTGCCTGCTCGCGCTGCCGCTGCTCGCCCTCCCCCACGCCCTCTATGCCCTCCGCCACCGCCCCCGCGCCCACTGTGGCGGGCCCCCCGCACAGCACCACCACGCGCGCCGCCCCGCTCCAGCGGCGCTGGTGGGCGCGCGGCAGGGCGGGCGCGGGGCCGCGCAGCAGCGCCAGCGCGAGCTCCACGGCGGGGCCCAGGGCGCGCGCGCGGGCGAGGGGGGGCGTGGCGGCGCGGCAGGGGCGCAGCGAGGCGATGACGGCCTGCGCGGAGGGCAGGCAGGCCGCGATGGGCGCGAGGTGCTGCGCGCGCCCCAGCAGCAGCGCGGCCAGCGTGGCGGGGGGCAGCGCGTGCGTGGCGGGGAAGCAGTCGGCGGAGGCGAGCAGCGGCGAGGCGGAGGGCGAGAGGTCGAAGAGCGAGAGGGCCGCGCCGAAGGTGATGATGGCGATGCGCGTGGCGGACGGCAGGTGCTGTAGCATGGCCTGCCATGGGGCGCCATGGGGTGGGTGGGGGGGATGGCGTGGTGAAGGAAGAAGTGAGGGGGGAGCAGCAGGGGCGATGAGGCAATGAGGATGGGCTGTTGTCTGCACCCACCGCGACCCGCCATTGACTCAACTCACCGTGAGCGCGGCCCTGACGCCCGCCATGCAAGCGGCGTCCAGCCCCTCGTCCACCACCACCACCACCGGCGCCCCCAGCACCGCCTCCGACGCGCTCCCCCCCACTCCCCCCTCCCCCGCCCCGCGCGGCCCCCCGCCCGCCTCAACGTAGTCCACCACGCGCGCGCCCAGCTCCGGCCACCCCTCGAGCGTCTCCCCCTCCGCCAGCAGGTAATGCCCGCCGCTCATGTTGGGGCGCCCGCACAGCGCGCAGCGCCAGTCGCCCGTGGCGGGCGCGATGGCGGAGTAGAGGCACACGCACGCCCCGCAGAAGGCGCAGCGCAGAGGCGCATGGCGCACCACGGGGGGCGGTTGGGAGGAAGCGGGAGCGGCGGAGGTAGGGGAGGGGAGGGTGGAAGCGGAGGGTGAGAGGAGCGGGGAAGCGGCGGAGGCGGAGAGCGGAGGGGTGGGCGCGAAGAGCGCGCCGAAGCCGAGGCTCTGCACGTTGGCGATCTTGCGCTCCCGCGGCACCTGCGGGGGCACGTGCACGCGGGGAAGACACATGTGAAGCGCGGGGAGGGACCTGAGAGGCGGCGAGGGCATGTGACGGAGAGGGCGAGGGAAAGACGGCGAAGGTGAGACGAGAGGGGGGCGCTGGGACAAGCGCGCGTGGAGGCGGGCCGCGAGGAGCAGCGAGCGCTCTGCGGCATGCCCAGCACCAGCCCTGTCGTGCACTGCGTCGCTCCCCGCCCATCACGGGCGCGCGGCGTACCGAGGAGGCAGTGAATCGCAGGTAGGGGTCGGACGCGAGATGGCCCCATTGCTCGTCGTGCGACAGATCGCAACCGTACATCAGCGCCGCCATGTTTGCGCCGACCAAAGGCCAAGGGAAAGAGAGGTAGGCTCAAATTATAAGTAAATATTTCTTTACTTAATTCCATGGGGGTGTAGCTCACATGGTAGAGCGATCGCTTTGCATGCGATAGGTACGGGGATCGATACCCCGCGTCTCCAGGCCAGCTTTTGTCTATCCGAAAAGAGTCATGTTTTTTATCGGGGAGGGGGTGTGTGTGCTTGACGGCATAAGACGAGTGTTCAATTCAAGCATTGCAAAATCAACTTCGCGGTTTGTTCGTCCACTCCCGCCATGGCAGGCGTGCAAGCCCTCCTCGCTCGCCGTCCCGCCTTTCTGCTCGGCGCGCCACCGCCTGATTCCGCCGCCCGCGGGCTTCTCTCCGGCGCAGGCCGCGCCATCCCGCGCCCGCACGCTCCATTCTCGTATAGGCGGGGGTTTAGGCGGGCTTACGTGGGGATTAGCAGCAAAGGGGAAAGTCGAGTTTTTTGTGTGCAAAGCGACGATGGTAGGGCGAGGAGTAGTGCAGCGGACGGATCGATAGAGCCAGAGATTGAGAGGGGCTGGGTGCGGCAAAGCGCGAGTGGCGTTTCACCGTCACCCTCACAGGCGCAGGAGCAGTGCGAGTCGCCCGCTCCCCATGGCCCGCCATCTCCGCGTGCTGCTTCCCCCAACGTCCTCGTCCCGCGCGCCCTTGCCTCCCCCCTCGCCTCCGCGGCTCTCGCTCTCCTCCTCGCCCTCGCGCCCTTCGCGACTCTCCGGCCCGCCCTCGCGCAAGCACCCCCCGCGGGGACTGCGGCGACTGTGGCGGAGACGAGTAGCGGGAGGCGCGAGACACGCAGCAAGGCTGCGGGGCGGCGGAAGGAAAAGCGCGCGGAGGGGGGAACATCCTCTGCGCGGGGGAGCAAGAGTGCTGTGGGGGGGTGGGAAGCAGCAGGAGAGGGACAAGTGGGGGACGTGGGGACGTTGGGGGAGGCGGAAGCGGGGAGCCGGCGGGCGGAGGAGAGGCTCGAGGCATTCCAAAGGACAGCGGCGGCTGCCGTGACGGCGGAGGAGGTGGGCGCGCTTGAGCGCGCGTACCAGGCGGAGTGGGCGCGGAGCATGCGGGAGAGCGAGGCGCGACAGGCGCGACTTCTGGACGAGCTGGTGGGCGCGCGCATGGCGCTGGCGGAGAGAGAGGAGGCGCTGGAGCGCGCGCGGGAGAGAGTCGCGGGGGGGGAAGCGGCGGAGAGCAAGGGCCGGGAGGAGGAAGGCGGAGAAGAGGCAGGGAAGGGGGAGGACGGGGCGGTAGGTAAGGGGAGTCGGGCAGGGGGCAAGGTGAAGGGGAGGAAGGGGAAGGGCGCGGCAGGGGCAGGGGGGGACGAGGGGGCAGGCAGCGTGCGCGCGTGCAGGCGGGCCGTGGAGGCGGCGCAGCGGCGCGCTGACGAGGCGGCGGCGGCAGTGGTGGCAGCAGGGCAGCAGGCGGAGGGGTGGCTGGCGCTCATGTGGGAGGCACTGGGGGAGGCGAAGAGGAGGGTCCATGGGGAGGTGGCAGGGGGCGCGAGCGCGGAGGGGGAGGGTGGCGAGGGGGAAGCGGGGAGGGGAGTGGCGACGATGGGGGGTGCGATGGCGGTGGCGGGCAGGGACGTGCGCGAGTGCCTTGACCACCCCGGTCGGGTGCCTGCTGTGCTGCTCCGGTCGCTCAGACGCGCCGTGGGGGGTGGAGACCCCGCCGCCCCCACTGCGGCGGCTGCTGCTGGTGGTGATGCTGGGCAGGGGGCGGAGGAGGCAGGGACAGAAGGGGCAGGGGGCGAGGGGGGCGTGAAGGCGCTGAGTGCGGCGGAGGAGGCAGCAGCGCATGCTCAGGTGCTGGCGTGGCACAAGTGGGCGGCGGAACAGCGGGCGGCGGCAAAGAAGCAGATTGTGAGCAGCCGAGGCAAGGCCAAGGCGTTTGCTGCTGACAAGCAGGTCAGTGCCGCCCGCTGCTCGCTGCTCCCTGCTCCCTGCTCCCTGCTCCCTGCTCGCTGCTCCCTGCTCCCTGCTCCCTGCTCCCTGCTCCCTGCTCCCTGCTCGCTGCGCACTGCTTATTGCTTCTTTGTTGCTCGTTGAATGCTGCACGGGTGAATAGCCGCGTGCACGCCCTCTCGCAAATCTTCCTTTCTCATTTCCCCCCTGCCCTGCGCCCAACGCCATGCTCCCCCATGCGGCACGCGCATGCAGGCGGAGGTGCTGGCAGCGCGCGACCGGGTGATGGGGGAGGCCACGCTCAACACCGCCGTCACCTCGCCGCTGCTGGGCGGAGGGCCTGAGGGGCGGTGGGAGCTCACAGCAGCGGGGCTGTGGGAGGCGCTGTCGCACTCGCTGCTGTCGTCCGTCTCGCTGCGCCACGACCGCCGTGCCGCCCTGCTGCGCCTCAAGGCCGACCCGCGCCTCTTCTTCGTCGACCTCTCCGCGTGGGACAGCTGGCGCCACGCCACTGGCGGCACGGACGAGCTGCTGCTGCGCCTGCGGGCGGCGGGCGTGCCGACGCGCGTGGAGGTGATGTGGGTGCCGGTGAGGGAGTGGGACCCCGCCTCGCTCTACACGCTGCCGGCGCGCATGGTGGGGCACGCGGCGCACTCGCTGTCCTCAGCAGGGCCGGTGCGGGTGGCGCTGCAGTGGTACGTGGGCACGGCGGGCGAGGCGGCGGAGGAGACGTTTTTCCGCTTCGTGTGGCCGGCCATGCCGCGCGCGCTCAAGGCGCTGCTGAAGCTGGACTACTCCGAGGGCGCGGCGGCGGGCGACGTGGTGGCGCTGGAGCGCATGGGGTGGCTGGCCGCCGCTGAGAGGCGCTTCGCGAAGCGCAGCAGCATGGCGGGCAGGTGGGCGTGGTGGCTCGTGCTGCCCGCCAAGGCCGCTGTCGCGCTCTTCCCCCTGCGCTGGGCCGCCCTCCCCGCCGCTGCCCTGGCGCAGCGCCTGCTGGTGGGCGCACCGGGGCCGGAGAGTGAGACGGCGTACAAGACACGGCTGGGGAAGGAGCTGCTGCGGCGCGTGGGCAAGCAGGAGGAGGACGAGGAGAAGGCGAAGAAGGAGAAGAAGGTCAAGGACTCCATCCGAGAGGCCTTCGACCGCATGAAGGTGCCCCCTGCCCCGCTCCTCCACCGTCCCCCATCACCTTGCTCCTTGCAATGCCCACCCTCTTTTGCTTCTATCCCCACAACCCCTCTTGAAACTGCCATCTCCTCTTCATGTGCTCGTCTCTCACCTTCATCCCATCCCATCTGTTCCTTTCCGCTCTCTACCCCCCACGGTTCGTGGGCAGCGAGTGCGGAGGCCGGCGGTGCGGCTGAGTGATTTCGCGGGGATGGATGCGGTGAAGGAGGAGGTGCAGGAGGTGATCACCTTCCTGCGCGACCCCTCCTCCTTCCAACGCCTCGGCGCCCGCCCACCCCGGGTGAGCCACGTTGCCCCGGGTGAGCCACGCCCTGTCTTGCTGCCTTGTGCCATACACACCCCGCTTGCCTTGCCTCTCCTCCTCTCACCTCTATCTTCTTCCTGCTGCTGCCACACAACCCCTCGTGTCCCGTCTCCTCCCCCCCCCCCCTCCCACCATGCGTGCGGGGCACGGCAGGGCGTGCTGATAACGGGGGGCTCGGGCGTGGGCAAGAGCAGCTTGGCGCTGGCGATAGCGGCGGAGGCGAGGGTGCCGGTGGTGGACATCAAGTCCAGCGATGTCGACCCGGGGGGGTTCGTCGGCCAGGGCGCCGCCAACGTGCGCGAGCTCTTCAAGATGGCCAGGGACATGGTGAGGGGGTCACGTGGTCAGGTGGTGAGGTTGTCCGATGGTCAGGTGGTCAGATGGTGAGATGGTAAGATGCTGAGATAGTGAGATGGTCAAGATTTCACGCGCTGGCAGGCGCCCATGCTCATCTCATCACACCCACTGCCACTGCCACCGGCAGGCGCCCATGCTGATCCTGATGGAGGACTTTGAGGAGATAGGCGGGGTGCGCGGGGCGGCCATGGACACGCGCCTGCAGGACAAGGAGGCCATCATCAACCAGCTGCTCGTTGAACTCGATGGGTCCGCCTCCCTCCCCCCCTCCTGCGCTCGCTGTTTCCCTCGCCTTTGCCTCTCTTTGCCCATAACCTCATGTGAACTGCGCTTGCATTCTCTTGCTGTCCAGTGCACCCTACTATCCTCCTCTTGCTTCGCTCCCGTCTGCTCTATGTTGTCATTCGAGCCTCGCCTTGGACCGCTCTCACACCTCGTGCTCGCCTTGGACCGCCCTCACACCTCGTGCTCGCCTTGGACCGCCCTCACACCTCGTGCTCGCCTTGGACCGCCCTCACACCTCGTGCTCGCCCCGGACCGCTCTCACACCTCGTGCTCGCCTTGGACCGCCCTCACACCTCGTGCTCGCCCCGGACCGCTCTCACACCTCGTGCTCGCCTTGCTGCCCGTGCTTTGCCTGGTTTGCAGGTTTGAGACACAGGAGGGCGTGGTGCTGCTGGCAATCACTGACAATCCAGCTGCTGTGAGTGAATCAGTGGAAGGTAGCAACCGAGAGTGAATCAGAGCAAGGTAGCAGGTGAGAGTGTAGCAGAGCAGGGGAGAAGCTGTGAGTGCAAGTGGAGGAGGGTGGAGGACGGGAGGGCTGGTGCTGGTACAGCGGCCACACGAGGGCAGTGAGTGTGGCCCGTGGCAGCATGGGGCGCACATGGCAGCATGGGGCGCACATGGCAGCATGGGGCGCACATGGCAGCATGGGGCGCACATGGCAGCATGGGGCGCACATGGCAGCATGGGGCGCACATGGCAGCATGGGGCGCACATGGCAGCATGGGGCGCACATGGCAGCATGGGGCGCACATGGCAGCATGGGGCGCACATGGCAGCATGGGGCGCACATGGCAGCATGGGGCGCACATGGCAGCATGGGGCGCACATGGCAGCATGGGGCGCACATGGCAGCATGGGGCGCACATGGCAGCATAAGGCGCACATGGCAGCATGGGGCGCACATGGCAGCATGGGGCGCACATGGCAGCATGGGGCGCACATGGCAGCATGGGGCGCACATGGCAGCATGGGGCGCACATGGCAGCATGGGGCGCACATGGCAGCATGGGGCGCACATGGCAGCATGGGGCGCACATGGCAGCATGGGGCGCACATGGCAGCATGGGGCGCACATGGCAGCATGGGGCGCACATGGCAGCATGGGGCGCACATGGCAGCATGGGGCGCACATGGCAGCATGGGGCGCACATGGCAGCATGGGGCGCACATGGCAGCATGGGGCGCACATGGCAGCATGGGGCGCACATGGCAGCATGGGGCGCACATGGCAGCATGGGGCGCACATGGCAGCATGGGGCGCACATGGCAGCATGGGGCGCACATGGCAGCATGGGGCGCACATGGCAGCATGGGGCGCACATGGCAGCATGGGGCGCACATGGCAGCATGGGGCGCACATGGCAGCATGGGGCGCACATGGCAGCATGGGGCGCACATGGCAGCATGGGGCGCACATGGCAGCATGGGGCGCACATGGCAGCATGGGGCGCACATGGCAGCATGGGGCGCACATGGCAGCATGGGGCGCACATGGCAGCATGGGGCGCACATGGCAGCATGGGGCGCACATGGCAGCATGGGGCGCACATGGCAGCATGGGGCGCACATGGCAGCATGGGGCGTACATGGCAGCATGGGGCGCACATGGCAGCATGGGGCGCACATGGCAGCATGGGGCGCACATGGCAGCATGGGGCGCACATGGCAGCATGGGGCGCACATGGCAGCATGGGGCGCACATGGCAGCATGGGGCGCACATGGCAGCATGGGGCGCACATGGCAGCATGGGGCGCACATGGCAGCATGGGGCGCACATGGCAGCATGGGGCGCACATGGCAGCATGGGGCGCACATGGCAGCATGGGGCGCACATGGCAGCATGGGGCGCACATGGCAGCATGGGGCGCACATGGCAGCATGGGGCGCACATGGCAGCATGGGGCGCACATGGCAGCATGGGGCGCACATGGCAGCATGGGGCGCACATGGCAGCATGGGGCGCACATGGCAGCATGGGGCGCACATGGCAGCATGGGGCGCACATGGCAGCATGGGGCGCACATGGCAGCATGGGGCGCACATGGCAGCATGGGGCGCACATGGCAGCATGGGGCGCACATGGCAGCATGGGGCGCACATGGCAGCATGGGGCGCACATGGCAGCATGGGGCGCACATGGCAGCATGGGGCGCACATGGCAGCATGGGGCGCACATGGCAGCATGGGGCGCACATGGCAGCATGGGGCGCACATGGCAGCATGGGGCGCACATGGCAGCATGGGGCGCACATGGCAGCATGGGGCGCACATGGCAGCATGGGGCGCACATGGCAACATGGGGCGCACATGGCAGCATGGGGCGCACATGGCAGCATGGGGCGCACATGGCACATGCATGTTCCCGGCGCTGGCCTTCTCCCAACAGCCAAGACTGCCCCTGTCGGCTCACCCATCCCGCCCTCCCCCGTGCCCCCTTTCCCCCCTCCTCTCCGCTCGCCCCCCCCAGGTGGACCCAGCGCTGCGCAGGCCGGGGCGCATGGACCGGGTGATCGAGGTGCCGCTGCCGACGGCGGGCGAGAGGGAGAAGATTCTGCGCCGCGCCGCCGCCGCCTCCATGGACCCCCGCTTCCTTGACGCCGTTGACTGGCGCTTCGTGAGACCCTCTCCCTGCCCTGCCATGCCGTGCCATCCTTGCCATCTTATGTGATCGCATGCGATGCCATGTTATGCCATCCCATGCCATGCCTGTACTTGCTTATAGCTCAGAGCTGATGCCATAATATCACATAGCATCGTACCATATCAAAGCATGGGATGCCATACTTCAGGACCGTGACATACCACACCATTCCATGTAATGCCATGTCATTCCACCCAAGGCCATGTCATCCCACTGATGCGACCCCATGCACGGCACGCATGGCATGTGTGAGTGCAGGTGGCGGAGCAGACGGGGGGCCTGAAGCCGACGGACCTGAGGGGCATGCCGCGGCGCATCCTGCTGGCCGCTGGCACTGACAAGTTCTGTGATGAGGACGAGCTGGCGGGCACTCTCAGCATGCTGGAGGTGAGATCACGGCTCAGCATGCTGGAGGTGAGATCACGGCTCAGCATGCTGGAGGTGAGATCACGGCTCAGCATGCTGGAGGTGAGATCACGGCTCAGCATGCTGGAGGTGAGATCACGGCTCAGCATGCTGGAGGTGAGGCACGCTCAGCATGGTGGAGGTGAGACCACGGCTCAGCAGGTATAGTGGGGGTCAAGGTGATGTGTGGCACATGGGGAGGGGCGCTGAGGCACAGTGTGGAGTGAGAGGGATACGGAGAATGTGGGATGGGCTCTTGTGTGTGTTCACGCCATGACTCCCCCCTGTGCCGTGCACCTGCTGTGCGTCCCTGCCCTGGCAGCTGTACCACTGGGTGGTGCCTGCGCTGCTGCGGCGCGTGCCGGTGCTGCAGCGGTGGGAGAGCGGCGTGGTGGAGCGGCTGGGGCTGGAGCTGACCGCGGGGGACGTGCAGCGAGTGGTGGCGGACATTGACTTCTCCTCGCTCACCCACCTCGGCATGGACCTCACCCTCCCCGACACCGCCAAGGTGCCCCCTCCATCCTGCCCTCCCCTCCCTCCTCCCTTGACCTGCATCGCCAGCAATGCCCCTCGCTCCTTTCGCTTCTTTCCACTCACCGTGCCGCTGCACCTCTCGTCCACTTGTCACTGCACCTGCTCGCCCACTTGTCACTGCAGCACCTGCTCGCCCACTTGTCACTGCACCTGCTCGCCCACTTGTCACTGCACCTGCTCGCCCACTTGTCACTGCACCTGCTCGCCCACTTGTCACTGCACCTGCTCGCCCACTTGTCACTGCAGCACCTGCTCGCCCACTTGTCACTGCAGCTGCTCGCCCACTTGTCACTGCACCTGCTCGCCCACTTGTCACTGCACCTGCTCGCCCACTTGTCACTGCACCTGCTCGCCCACTTGTCACTGCAGCACCTGCTCGCCCACTTGTCACTGCACCTGCTCGCCCACTTGTCACTGCACCTGCTCGCCCACTTGTCACTGCACCTGCTCGCCCACTTTGTCACTGCACCTGCTCGCCCACTTGTCACTGCACCTGCTCGCCCACTTGTCACTGCACCTGCTCGCCCACTTGTCACTGCACCTGCTCGCCCACTTGTCACTGCAGCACCTGCTCGCCCACTTGTCACTGCACCTGCTCGCCCACTTGTCACTGCACCTGCTCGCCCACTTGTCACTGCACCTGCTCGCCCACTTGTCACTGCACCTGCTCGCCCACTTGTCACTGCACCTGCTCCCCCGCTTGTCACTGCAGCACCTGCTCGCCCACTTGTCACTGCACCTGCTCCCCCGCTTGTCACTGCACCTGCTCCCCCGCTTGTCACTGCACCTGCTCGCCCACTTGTCACTGCACCTGCTCCCCCGCTTGTCACTGCACCTGCTCGCCCACTTGTCACTGCACCTGCTCCCCCGCTTGTCACTGCACCTGCTCCCCCGCTTGTCACTGCACCTGCTCGCCCACTTGTCACTGCAGCACCTGCTCCCCCGCTTGTCACTGCACCTGCTCGCCCACTTGTCACTGCACCTGCTCGCCCACTTGTCACTGCACCTGCTCGCCCACTTGTCACTGCACCTGCTCGCCCACTTGTCACTGCACCTGCTCGCCCACTTGTCACTGCACCTGCTCCCCCGCTTGTCACTGCACCTGCTCCCCCGCTTGTCACTGCACCTGCTCCCCCGCTTGTCACTGCACCTGCTCCCCCGCTTGTCACTGCACCTGCTCCCCCGCTTGTCACTGCACCTGCTCCCCCGCTTGTCATTGCGCCTGCGACCAAACTTGGCACCTCCCCTTCTTGCCTCAAGTTGCACCTCCCCTTCTTGCCTCAAGTTGCACCTCCCCTTCTTGCCTCAAGTTGCACCTCCCCTTCTTGCCTCAAGTTGCACCTCCCCTTCTTGCCTCAAGTTGCACCTCCCCTTCATTGCTCCACTTGTCGCCCCACCCTCCCCCCCCCCTCCGACTTGCTCTCCCATGTTCATCCAACACCCTCACTCTGCCCTCACCTCACAGTGGGATCGTGCTGAGAAGCTTCCGCATGCGGTGTGGGCAGCAGGGAGGGGCGTGCTGGCGGCGCTGCTGCCGAGCTTTGACCGCGTCGACAACATCTGGCTCAACCCCAACAGCTGGGAGGTGCGCACTGCCACGGGCGGCAGGTGGGAGGTGTGCATGGGGCAAGCGGGTGAGAGGTGTGCATGGGGCAAGCGGGTGAGAGGTGTGCATGGGGCAAGCAGGTGGGAGGTGTGCATGGGGCAAGCAGGTGGGAGGTGTGCATGGGGCAAGCAGGTGAGAGGTGTGCATGGGGCAAGCAGGTGGGAGGTGTGCATGGGGCAAGCGGGTGAGAGGTGTGCATGGGCCAAGCAGGTGAGAGGTGTTCATGGGGCAAGCAGGTGAGAGGTGTGCATGGGGCAAGCAGGTGAGAGGTGTGCATGGGGCAAGCAGGTGAGAGGTGTGCATGGGGCAAGCAGGTGGGAGGTGTGCATGGGGCAAGCAGGTGAGAGGTGTGCATGGGGCAAGCAGGTGAGAGGTGTGCATGGGGCAAGCAGGTGAGAGGTGTGCATGGGGCAAGGCGGTGGGAAGTCTGCATGGCTAATGAGAAGAGAACGACGACACTGCATGCACTCACCATTATGCATTTTCATGCCATTTGAAGCCATCAGCCTCGCCTCCCCCGCCCCTGTGTGCAACCGTGACGGCGTGTGCGGTGTGCATGTGGGGGTGGCAGGGCGTGGGGTTCACGCGCTTCACGCGTGCCGCCGACGGCTCGCTGGGCGGGGCGGACGGCGGTGCGGAGGCGGGGGGCGGCGTCGTGGTGAGTCGCGCGTACACGGAGCAGAGCCTGGTGGCGCTCTTCGGCTCGCACATCGCCGCCGCGCTGCTGCTGCCCTGGGGGCACTCCAACAACCTCGCCACCCCGCAGCTGCAGCAGGCCTACCAGGTACAGGGGGCTGGGGAGAGCTGGGGGCCAGGAGGGCAACGGGGGGAGGAGGGGGAGCTGGGGGAAGTGGCAAGAGCTGGAAGAGCGCTTCTTGATTCGAGAGAGAAAGGGTAGCAGTATTGGTGTGGCCCGAGTGGGGTTTGCTTTGGTAAAGCGAAATGTGTCCCACCAATCAAGAGTCCCCTCTCTCTTGAGCATGTGGCACAGGTAGCACGTGGCACAGGTAGCACGTAGATCACCCATGTGCTGCCCTGTCTTCTCCCCCCCGTGTGCGTGCCTTCCCGGCAACCCAACCAAACCTGTGTGGCATCAGCTGGCGGAGCGCATGGTCATGGAGTGGGGCTGGGGACCCGACGACTCTCCCTTCATCTTCCAAACCCACACTGCGGTCAGTACTACCACCCACGATGCTGTGAGTGCCACCCACCGTTCTGTTTCCGCTGCTCTGTTGAGCAAATTCTCCATTCTCTCTCCACTGTCTTCCCCCTTCCCCCTTCCCCCTTCCCCTTCCTTCATTCCTTCTCTGCGGTGTGGTGCTGCCCTGCCACCCCGGTGTTAGCAGCACAAGAGTCTGGCGTTGGGGCGAAGGCAGGAGGCGGAGCTGAAGCAAAGGGTGCAGCAGGTGAGGGTGGTGGGGGACTCACGACTGCATTAAAGTGAGGGTGGTGGGGGACTCACGACTGCATTAAAGTGAGGGTGGTTGGGGACTCACGTGGACTGCATTCAAATGGTTGGGGGCACCTGTTGTAGGTGCTTGGTGGAGCGCCACAAACGGACCAACATTGATCCACACCGTGTTTAGTTTGGTGAATGAACATTCACACCTTCATATGTAGCTGAAACTGAGCAATCACCACATCCTCCCTCCCACCTTTCTGTTCTCCGTCCCTCCCTGTGCGGGCATCAGCTGCACGATGCGGCGTTTGAGCGCGCGCACGCGCTGCTGGCGCGCAACCGGCGCACGCTGCAGGCCGTGGTGGACGCCCTCTGCACGCACGACGCCGTCGACCGCCAGGTCAGCACTTGCCCGCCCCCTCCGTGCCGTCATGGTCGCCTCGCCTGGGTGCATTGTGCATGCTTGGTGCTTGGGTGCATGGGCGCATTGGTGCATGGGTGCATGGGTGCATGTGTGCATGGGCGCATGGGTGCATGGGTGCATGGGTGCATGGGTGCATGTGCGCATGGGTGCATGGTGCATGAGCGCATGGGTGCATGGTGCATGAGCGCATGGGTGCATGAGCGCATGGGTGCATGGTGCATGAGCGCATGGGTGCATGAGCGCATGGGTGCATGGTGCATGAGCGCATGGGTGCATGGTGCATGAGCGCATGGGTGCATGGTGCATGAGCGCATGGGTGCATGAGTTCATGGGCACATGACTTTGTAGAGGCAGGTTGGTATGGGCTGGAGAGCGTTGACATGGGAGATAGCTGAGAAGATGCCCTCTGCAGATGCTATGTGGGTCGTGCAGTGGCACACATGAGGGCTCCACTTGAAGGCAAGTGGAATGGAAACATGCTGGACAGTTGATGTGGCTGGGAGAAGAACTTCCGAGCCACCTTCGCTCACTCAGGAAGTATGCCTGGATCCATGCAAATGTGACTGTTGTGAGTTTTCACCCTCGTTGGAAAGCAGCTCCCAACGAGTAAATTCTGTCGTATGGTGGCTCCGTGTGACTGCCCCTCTCAACAGGAACTGCTGCGCATCATGGCAGACACATCAGCCGTGCCGGAGAACGAGCCATTTGAGCTTTTCCCTTACAGCCACCCCACGCACAGGGCTGGCATACACTTAGCTGCACGTACACAGGCCGGCAGGCTTGCTGCACTCAGCACCAACCTGCCCCAAGGAATTCTGCCTGCGGAGGCATCTGCCAAGTGATGGTGGTGAGGGCACATTGCCATCCGCACTATGGGTTACTAGTGGCACAATGTGTGTAATGTAGTGTAGAGCAGGGCTCAGGTTATCAGTGTAATTTACCCTTCTACACTGATTACAAGGGTGAAATTTTGGGTCTACACTGATGTGCTGGGGTAATATTTTTATGAGTTAGTGTTACACTGATTAGTAAGTGTATCGATGTAGGCCATTTCCCTTAGCGAGGATTACACTGAAGAGCGTACACGGACCCCCACACCCACCCCCCCCTCCCTCCCCCCCTTCCCCACAAACAATCGGTCGAGGGGGAGGGGAGGCAAAATTCTCGCCAATTTCGTAAGTCCTCCCCTTCCCCCCCGCCCCTCACAAACAATCGATCGAGGTGGGAGGGGACCTGGGAGGCAGATAACTTTCTCGCCACCTGTCATACACACCTAATTTACACATAATGTGTCAGTGCTTGAAATAAAACCACACTGATGATGCAGGGTAGAAAATTCAAAACCTGATGTTATACTGCTCCATCAGTGTAATGGAAAAGTACACACTGCCCATAAGGGTTTTTGAAAAAGCTACACTGCCAATCATGAGTAGGCCAAAACCAAACCTGAGCCCTGGTGTAGAGTGTTTATAAGAGGGAAGAGCTTGCGTAAAAATCAAAAGGCATGAATGAAATACAGTTGTTAAGATGTAAATGGCAAGTCTTGTAGGAAAAGTATTTTTAGTGGCAAGTCCATACCGTATTTTGCCCTGCAAGGAAGAGTCCTGACTTCAAGGAGTTCGCAGAGCAGCAGTCAGAACATTGCAAATCTTCATCTTACAGCACACTACCCGTAGATTGCGTCTTCCAAAGTGTTGAAGTACTACCGTAAAATGTTTCGGTAAGAAATCAAGGGCCATATCAAGGAAATGTAATCACTTGGAATAAGTTGTAGGTTCAGGACGCGTCCGCTCAACACCGATCTCACGACGGATAATGCTATATCGATCCTCATTGCATTGAATCGTATAGCAGCCATATGTACACTCGCCTCACCCCACCCCAATGGGGATGAAAGCACACATGTGCAACAGGCATGGTTCGATCGCCAGTACCAATGATCGATCATGATCGTCACCCTCTTACGCTCCTGCTGGCTTGGTAATACCGGTAGGCCCAAACGCACACAGCCGCGTGACTGAACACAAGAAAAACGCTGCGAACGAGCGAATTCATCACCAAACTGCGGAAGGATCCACACATGTGCAAAAAATGTAGCAGGCATGCTTCATTCGCCCGTGCCAATGACTGATCATGCTCGCCACCCACCCACGCTTGGCTTGGTAATACGTCCAGACGCACACATCTGCGTGACCGAACGGAAGTAAAACGCTCGTAACGAGCGTTTTCATCCCCAAAACGCGGAAGGATCCGCACATGTGCAGAAAATGCAGCAGACATGGTTCATTCGCCAGTACCAATGACCGATCATGCTCGTCACCCTCCCACGCTATTGCTAGTTTGGTAATAGGTCCAAACACCCACAGCCGTGTGGCCGAACGGAACAAAAAGCGAAGAACCGCTCGTTCCGCACTGGTATAAAATGTGAAGCGAAGTTGTTCAAATTCTGGACCGCCATGCACGATCATCTTTGCCACAGTCCTAAGTACCCTGCGGTCAGTTTCCACCTCCTAAAAACTTCAGACGAGCCCGCCGCGACAAGTGCCGCCCCCCCTATAAGGGCGTTCGTGAGGCCAGAAAGCTGTGAAATCCGCACAGGTATAAAATGTGAAGCGAAGTTGTTCAAATCCTGGACCGCCATGCACGATCATCTTTGCCACAGTCCTAAGTACCCTTCGGTCAGTTTCCAGCTCCTAATAACTTCAGACGAGCCCGCCGCGACAAGTGCCGCCCCCCCTATAAGGGCGTTCGTAAGGCCAGAAAGCTGTGAAATCCGCACTGGTATAAAATGTGAAGCAAAGTTCTTCAAATCCTGGACCGCCATGCACGATCTTCTTTGCCATAGTCCTAAGTACTCTGTGGTCAGTTTCTAGCTCCTAAAAACTTCAGACGAGCCCGCCACGACAAGTACCGCCCCCCCTATAAGGGCGTTCGTGAGGCCAGAAAGCTACGAAATCGGCACCGGTATAAAACGTGAAGCGAGGTTGTTCAAATCCTGGACCGCCAAGCATGATCATCTTTGCCACAGTCCTAAGTACCCGGTGGTCAGTTTCTAGCTCCTAATATCTTCAGACGAGCCCGCCGCGACAAGTACCGCCCCCCTTCTAAGGACATTCGTGAGGCCAGAAAGATGTGAAATCCGCACTGGTATAAAATGTGAAGCGAAGTTGTTCAAATCCTGGACCGCCATGCACGATCAACTTTGCCACAGTCCTAAGTACCTTGTGGTTAGTTTCCAGCTCCTAAAAACTCCAGACAAGCCCGCCACGACAAGTGCCGCCCCCCCTATAAGGGCGTTCGTGAGGCAAGAAAGCTGTGAAATCCGCACTGGTATAAAATGTGAAGCGAAGTTGTTCAAATCCTGGACCGCCATGCACGATCATCTTTGCCACAGTCCTAAGTACCTTGTGGCCAATTTCTAGCTCCTAATAACTTCAGACGAGCCCGCCACGACAAGTACCGCCCCCCCTATAAGGGCGTTCGTGAGGCCAGAAAGCAACGAAATCGGCACCGGTATAAAATGTGAAGCGAAGTTGTTTAAATTCTGGACCGCCATGCACGATCATCTTTGCCATAGTATTAAGTACCCTGCGGTCAGTTTCTAGCTCCTAATAACTTCAGACGAGCCCGCCACGACAAGTACCGCCCCCCCTATACAGGCGTTCGTGAGGCCAGAAAGCTGTGAAATCCGCACTGGTATAATATGTAAAGCGAAGTTGTTCAAATCCTGGACCGCCATGCATGATAATCTTTTCCACAGTCCTAAGTACCGTGTGGTCAGTTTTTAGCTCCTAATAGCTTCAGACGAGCCCGCCGCGACAAGTACCGCCCCCCTTATAAGGATGTTCGTGAGGCCAGAAAGCTGTGAAATCCGCACTGGTATAAAATGTGAAGCAAAGTTGTTCAAATCCTGGACCGCCATGCACGATCAACTTTGCCACAGTCCTAAGTACCTTGTGGCTAATTTCCAGCTCCTAAAAACTCCAGACAAGCCCGCCGCGACAAGTGCCGCCCCCACTATAAGGGCGTTCGTGAGGCCAGAATGCTGTGAAATCCACACCGGTATAAAATGTGAAGCGAAGTTGTCCAAATCCTGGACCGCCATGCACGATCATCTTTGCCATAGTCCTAAGTACCCTGTGGTCAGTTTCTAGCTTCTAAAAACATCAGACGAGCCCGCCGCGACAAGTACCGCCCCCCCTATAAGGGCGTTCGTGAGACCAGAAAGCTGTGAAATCCGCACTGGTATAAAATGTGAAGCGAAGTTGTTCAAATCCTAGACCGCCATGCACGATCATCTTTGCCACAGTCCTAAGTACCTTGTGGTCAGTTTCTAGCTCCTAATAACTTCAGACGAGCCCGCCACGACAAGTACCGCCCCCACTATAAGGGCGTTCATGAGGCCAGAAAGCTGTGAAATCCGCACTGGTATAAAATGTGAAGCGAAGTTGTTCAAATCCTGAACCGCCATGCACGATCATCTTTTCTACAGTCCTAAGTACCTTCCGGTTAGTTTCCAACTCCTAATAACTTCAGACAAGCCCGCCGCGACAAGTACCGCCACCCCTATAAGGGCGTTCGTGAGGCCAGAAAGCTACGAAATCGGCACCGGTATAAAATGTGAAGCGAAGTTGTTCAAATTCTGGACCGCCATGCACGATCATCTTTGCCATAGTATTAAGTACTCTGCGGTCAGTTTCTAGCTCTCAATAACTCCAGACAAGCCCGCCACGACAAGCACCGCCCCCCCTATACGGGCGTTCGTGAGGCTAGAAAGCTACGAAATGAGCACCGGTATAGAATGTGAAGGGAAGTTGTTCAAACTATGGACCGCCATGCATGATCATCTTTGCCACAGTCCTAAGTACCCCGCGGTCACTTTCCAGCTCCTAATAACTTCAGACGAGCCCGCCACGACAAGTACTGCCCCCCTATAAGGGCGTTCGTGAGGCCAGAAAGCTGTGAAATCCGCACCGGTGTAAAATGTGCAGTGAAGTTGTTCAAATCCTGGACCGCCATGCATGATCATCTTTGCCACAGTCCTAAGTACCTTGCGGTCAGTTTCTAGCTCCTAAAAACTTCAGACGAGCCCGCCGCGACAAGTGCCGCCCCCACTATAAGGGCGTTCGTGAGACCAGAAAGCTGTCAAATCCGCACTGGTATAAAATGTGAAGCGAAGTTGTTCAAATCCTGGACCGCCATGCACGATCACCTTTGCCACAAGCCCTAAGTACCCTCTGGTCAGTTTCTAGCTCCTAAAAACTTCAGACGAGCCCGCCGCGACAAGCACTGCCCCCCCTATAAGGGCGTTCGTGAGGCCAGAAAGCTGTGAAATACGCACTGGTATAAAATGTGAAGCGAAGTTGTTCAAATCCTGGACCGCCATGCACGATCATCTTTGCCACAGTCCTAAAAACCCTGTGGTCAGTTTCTAGCTCCTAAAATCATCAGACGAGCCCGACGCAACAAGCACTGCCCCCCCTATAAGGGCGTTCGTGAGGCCAGAAAGCTGTGAAATCCGCACAGGTATAAAATGTGAAGCGAAGTTGTTCAAATCCTGAACCGCCATGCACGATCATCTTTGCCACAGTCCTAAGTACCTTGCGGTCAGTTTCTAGCTCCTAATAACTTCAGACGAGCCCGCCGCGACAAGTGCCGCCCCCACTATAAGGGCGTTCGTGAGGCCAGAAAGCTGTGAAATCCGCACTGCTATAAAATGTGAAGCGAAGCTGTTCAAATCCTGGACTGCCATGCACGATTATCTTTGCCACAGTCCTAAGTACCCTATGGTCAGTTTCTAGCTCCTAAAATCTTCAGACGAGCCCGCCGCGACAAGTGCCGC